CACTAATAGTGTGTACTGTTTTAAATTATTTTCATAACTTATTGATAGATTATATTTTAAACTTTAAAGTTCTTATGTAATATAAATTTTATCTATATTAATAAACAAAAATGTATACATATAATATATACAGAAAATTTTTAATGGAAATTTTTATTAACGTAAATTTTGATTTATCTCGTTTATATATATTTTTTCTCTTTTCTGCTTCCCGTTTACGGATGAAATCGTCATGAAATTACTCGAAATATCTCCTATTGGATTGTAATGTGAAGGATTGAGAGAAATATCCGATCTGAAAGATTGCTCGGAAAGAAAAATATCCTTACCTGTCACGCACCGTTTTCGAGAGTTTTCCGTTTATTGGAAAACTTCACATTCGCGCGACGGTAATCCATCTAACTACGCGATTTATCCGCATATAACAGATCTATAAATTTAACTATTCTATTCCCATTACGTATACCATATGTTACGGAAATACAGTATCGATTCGATGCAAAACGTCTCACCGCGCGATGTTTCATTCTCCTTTATTTTCTCAAGAAACCTGCAATTGTATCGTCCAGTTTTCTTAACAATTTCCTAACAATTAATCTCGTTTCGTAGCAAATTGTCAAATCAACCATCAATTGCATATCTATTGATACGAGGCAAAATTAAATCGCCTTATTCTATTTGTCAAAGTTTATATGAATAAAACAAATACGTAAATAGCTATAAATTGACAAATAGAAATATTTGCATCTAAATTGCAATAACGCATACCGAAATCGTGTTACTGTATCTGATAAAATTTATGCATACATTATCTTCCTATTTCTCTGTAGATTCTACGTTAAGTAACGTGATCAAATTTTCTAAATAGTAAAGAGAATAAAAAAAAAAAAAAAAAAAAAAATGACTCACTTGTGACATCGGGTGGTCCAAGGTGTCGAAGCCATTCACTTGTCGCGACGCGGTGCGCAATCATGGAGCACCTTTACGGTGGTGGTCGCGCGCAGTCGGCGGTGATAATACGGAGACCACTCGCGCACCTGTCTGAAGTCCGCGCCGATATATATTTCGTTCTTTTCGTCGGCACGTGCCGAAGACGGAGACGGGACCGCGTTAGTCACTGTGTCGTACCACTTTGCGAGTCGCGCTCTCACCTCTACGAATGTGACTTCCCCTTATCGTTGCCTGCCGGCACACAAGAGCGCTCATTCGCGATGACCGGCGACACCCGCGGCGCGAATCCCCCGGCAGTTCAAAGTGCCGTAAAAGCGCCACGACATGTTCGCGCAAGTGAAAATAAGCGAAAGAGAAAAAGATAGATGTAAGAAGAGAGAAAGAGACAGATAGAGAGAAAGAGGAGAATTAGGTGGCGGTGCGTGGGCGATGATAGACGATTTAAAAACACGACGTTCTCCCGACAACGACGGCTCGAAGTCGTCACGACGACTGGCATAACCGACGGCAGAGAGCGACACGACAGCCCCCGGCGACTGGGTTTCCGACGCATGCGTCCTCGCAACCCCGTGCCCAACCCTGTTTTTCCCAGAGACGACTACCCTCTTGTACACGGCTCTCTATCTTTTCCCTCCATTTCTCTTGTTAAACTGGGTTTATACACCGGACGAACGAACAATAAGCGAGAACGCGGAATTGACCAGTTGCACCGATCGATTTCTCCAATCGATCAGCGCAACTGGTTAATTCTACGTTCTTCGTTCGTTCAAAGTACCGACCTTTCTGACTGTCGTCGAAACGGTCTTGTGTTTTTTCGACGTTCTCGGTTTTACACGCGTTTCCAATGGTGACAACGCGATTCTACACAGTGCGCGCCGATATTGAGGCAGTGTATTAGTCTAGGCGACCCGTTTGCCTAAAGACCTGCCCGCAACTGTAAGAACCACACCGTTTCTACGTGTGTCGAGAGTCGCGCTAAGAGAGCTTGTATTTAGCTTAGTGTCAGTCTCAGAGGTTTTTCTTTTTCTGGACAAATTCATCACAAAAATACACTGTAATACGTCGCACACGTGATTATCTCGCTCTTGTTTTAATTATCGACGGAGATTTTTTTACAGATTTTTAAGAATCTCCCGAAACTTAAATCTCTCTCGTAAACTGCATGTGCGCAACACGCGTCAAAGATAAATGAGATTATGCAAAAACTCTTTTTACGTTAAATATATATATATATATATTTAATCTGGTTACAAAGTTTATAATTATATGCAAAAACACAAAGAAAAAGATTCGCTTGATCGTTATTAATGTTGACCACAAAATTTGCGCGGCAAACAACTTTTGCCTCAAATTTGAGGAACATCAATCAACCGCACGGAAGTCAGATGAAGATCTGATTTAAATGTATGCGCGAACAATGCAACTATATGATCACGAAAATTCGATTCCCATTGGCCGTAAATCGAAAGATTGCGCGTTCTCGAAATATTCAACTTCCATTAACCACGCGGTGTAATTTGCGCCTCAACAAGCGTGTGCAAATTGGCTGCGGAGCGCCGGAGCAGCGCAGCGGTGTAAATCGTCAACAATCGGCAAACGCTTCGCGCTTGAAATTGTGAAATGTAAAGATAAAGGATATATGTATCAGTCCGATTTGTATCGACAAACTCGATTTGCGCGACCTAGATTATATACGGAATAGCTTATTTGAAATACGAAATAGAGAGATTGCTATAAAAGCCACTCTTGACGACTTCCGAATTTTTTTTTCACAATATCTGTCAAATTGTCAAAATATCTCGCGCGATATTTAATCTGTTAAAAGACAAGAGTGTGTAAAAAGTTATAATTCTCTCTCTTCTTTTTTTTTCTTCTTATCCATCTCGTGTTCGAACTTTTTTTTCCTCGGTATTATATTGTTGCTACGCTGATAAAAAAAAAAAAAAAAAACAAAGTAAAGCACAGGTAATAATAAAATTATTATCTGTAAAGCAGCATACATGCGACAGCCGCCTCTCCATTTTCGGACGGAATGTTAGTCGAAGATTTACGACGTGGCGTAACGAAAGAAGATACGAAAGAATCGGTTTATGCCGAGGTAACAGGGCTGCATCAATCAAAAGGATTTTATATTTTTTAAGCTCAAAGCAGGAATGATTGCCGCGCGCGCGTTTGATGTTGTAAAGCACGGTGCGTTGGCTGCTTCAAAGCTTTATGAGCCCAGAGATTAAAGCGTGTAATGCGATCGTGGCTTACTCGATATCGGACACGATCCTTAGATGCATTAATTATTTTCTCCTTTCATTAATTACATAGCTTGTGCGCGAGACAATCTACTTTTATGCGCTTTGACTATTATCTGTCGGAATTATGTAACTTATTTTTATATAAAAGAAAAAATCTTAAAATATTAATAAATATTTAATACATTTGATTGTTTTCTCTCCTCGGTGATAAATTTTCTTAATTTATAAACACCAGCTATGTTATATATACTTTATACTGTCTGACTTTATATTCGCATAAAAGGTACGGCAAAATATACTCGGTTTCTCTTTAATAAAACGCATAATCGTTTCATTTCTCGCAATGGTCAGAACCGAGTTTTTGCAATTTATACAGCACGAGAAAAATGAAAAAGTACGTAATATGGTAGGAAAAGGGAATGCAAAATTAGACGTGCCGCAGTTCCATCTTACGTATGAATAGGTAGGTACACGTTCAGCTGCACTCGATACCGCGCACCGTCATTATACCGCAGAACGATATGCAAACAGAATATATTATTTCTGGTGTCCTCTGTGTGAACCACTTCTTCAAAAAGAAAAAAAAACAAAAGAACGAGTTTACTTTAGCTACTAATTCTGTTATAGTTGTTTTTATCCAAAAAATTATTCTATTTTGCTTATACGTGAAGCAATTGATTTGAAGAATCCGCATAAATAGTGACAGTAGTATCGCATTGTTGTTGTCGTCAAGTTTTTTTTTTTTCATTTTTTAACTGAACAAACATCAACGCTGGCTCATGTAATGTTTGTGTGTGTGATAACTCGCCAATTATAAATCATTTATGACATCAATGACTTCATAGTTGCTCGACAATTTCTTTGTATCCTATTTCTGAACCTTTTGCAGATTTGAAAATAAATGGAAATCTCACGGAAACCATATTTGACGAATAAGGCGGATGTGAGGCAGCAATTCGATGAAACTCGATTTATAAATTTTGCACATTGCGACGATTGAAGGCGAATTGATGCATTGTTAAAAATCGCTGATAGCGTGCTCCCCAAACACAGCCTCATATGTTGCAATGATTTAATTATTAAAGATGCGCAACAATAAAATATATTTTGCACGCACATATCGCTTGTTGTTTGCTCGTCGTTTGAAGCATCTTTGGGAAATGAAATTCGAAATGTCAGAATTTTGCCGTGTAAACAGTTACAGCAGTGAAATTATTGGTAGAAATGAATATATACATTATTGGCAATAACCGGCTCCCAAAATCCTCCTTTTTTCCAAATGAAATCTAATAAAAAATAAATATGAACGTACGAAAAAGTTCGATGTCAAAACAGCATGAGTGCTAAAAATAAATATTTCTACAAATTTTCTCACTGTGAAAAAGAGATACCTTCTACTTAAGAATTTAATTTTAACGTGACAACGAGAAAGAAATCGCAGCACTATATTGCGATCGCGTGCATAATTGAATGTTACGGCGCAATGAAATGAGACAAGCGTTGTTTGAATGCAAAAGCAAGCACCGCCATTACTCGACGAATGGAATTTCAGATACGGCCGATGGTACACTGGAGTATAATTCGTTTGCGTTGCATAGCCTCAGGGTTACGCTCGTTGCGTCTACGTGAAAGAGACCTGTACGCTAATTCTCACTCTAATTGTGTACGTGTAATATTCCCAAAACCAGATAATGTAAAACTTCTAACAAGATTAGGCGCAGCAAGCTAATGCGAAATACATTATTAATAAATTTAAAGGAAGAGAGATTAGAGAGAGATTAACAAAATGAATAATATTAAAACTCTGTGAAAAATTTGTTCTTTATTCAAGTAAACATGATTCCTTCAATTCGAGTCTTGGAAATTGCACAATCTGTTCGATCCATTTCGCCACAGTAAGTAATCTCTGTTCGTGAAAAAGCGGCGCCATTATTTGTAAAGACAAGGGTAGTTCGTTACGAGAGAGCTTGATCGGAACATTGATCGCGGGCAAACCAGCCATGTTCGCAGGTTGCGTACAATGATCCTGAATCAAGCATTGTGTTTGATTGTCCAGTTGTGCGAATTCATGATAACTAGGAGCTTCGGTTAACGTGGTCGGGGTTAATAAAATGTCTATATTGTTGTTCCATATGACGTCGAAGTCTTGCGCAATTAATCTACGCATTTTCATCGCCTTTAAGTAATACTCTTTGTAATTCTCTGCTAAAAGAAAATAATTTCCGACTAGTATACGACCTTTGACCACATTGTTAAAACCTTCTGATCTGGTCTTCTTGTACAATTCATGAGCTGAGCTCGACTCGTCGGCTCTGTGACCGTATTCTATACCGTCGTAACAAGCCAAGTTGCTGGCTACATCGCATCGATTTAAAACAGAATAACACACTATAGAGTAATCAGTGTGCGGTAATGACACTGGAACAACACTAGCTCCGGCTTCTTCCAAATGACGAGCAACATCGTCCCAACAGTCTTGGACTTCGTTACTTATGCCTTTAACCCCATATTCTTTTGGTAATCCAACTCTAAGATTACCAACATCTATCGTTTCAGGTAACTTAATGGAAACATACTCTTTTTGTACAGCAGTGGGATCTGCTGGATCACAACCAGCTATAGCGTTCAGAATTATTACAGCATCATCTACTGTTCTCGCAAGAATACCAGGTACATCCATTGAATTTAATAGAGGAATAAGACCATAACGTGATACCAAACCGTAAGTTGGTTTCAGACCGATTAAACCACAATAAGAGGCAGGATTACGAGTTGAACCACCTGTGTCAGAACCCAAGGCTGCGTAACATGTACCTGTGGCTACTGCAACTGCAGAGCCTCCACTACTGCCACCTAAATATTTATTTTAAATTTCAAAGTATTGTCATTTACATATATGTTACTACTATTAAAACAAAGATTATAATTACATTACACAATGACTAACGAATTGCAGTAATGTACCTGCTATTCGCCATGTGGTTTTTTCATGTAATTTTCTTGGGATAACTGTACAATTCTCAGATTTGTAGGAATAAAATTGTGACAACATTTCTGAACCCCATAGATTTTTTGTGGGTCCATAAAGGGAATCTATAGTCCCTGAACCCATAGCAAACTCATCAAGATTAGTCTTGCCGATTAAAATAGCTCCTTGCTTCCTAAGCCTCTCGTATACCGTAGCGTCATAGCCAGGTGAAAAGTTAGCTAACATCCGAGAAGCGCAGGTCGTAGGTTTGCCCTTGACGCAATAATTGTCTTTGACAGCAATGGGAATTCCATCAAGTTGTCCTAACAATGAATTCTTACGTTGTCTGACATCGGCTTTACTCGCTTGCTCTTCCGCGACATCGCTAGTCACGGTAATGTAAGCGTTCAAAGGCTTGACAATTGATGTTAAATTGACAGAAGCCTTACAGATCTCAGACGGTTTTACCGCACCGCTGTAAATCTTTTGACTGACTTCTTTGATCGGAGTAGACAACACCTTATTCATTTTTCGTCTTGTGACAAGTCAACGTAACACATAACCTCTTTTTTGCCGGTACTCCTATTTTTGCACGTCTACTTAGAGACTTTTTCAGAGAGAAAGTCACACTCGTGACACACGTCGTAATTGAGCAGCTTTTTCCTCTGTCCAATCAGAAGCACCTGTCTTCCTGAGAAACTATAGCTCCAACAGAAAGAAAAATGAAAGCAACCAGACTCATAACGCCCGTTTTTACTATCTCCGATTAACTTAATCGGAGATTAAGTATCAGTCGTGATTGGTCCATTCTGCTAAACGTTTAATGCGACTGGTAATTCTAATGGAATAAACGGACGGATTAAGTTAATCGAAGAGAGTGCAAACGGGCCTAAGAGTTTTTACGACCGCTTTTCTGTCTGTCAGCTGGCGCATGTTCACGAGTGATGCACACTGGCAACTACATAACCCTGTCCACGTATCAAAGCGCGCGATATTTCGAGAATCGAGATATCGAATCGACGCGCGCGCGGCAAAGTGCGCGTCGATTCGATATCGACGAAACGAAGAACAAAATTGATCGAAAAGATAGCAGTTTTATTTACTAAATTGGTTAATGTAGTTGATATACATAAAACGTAGTTCATCATGACGTTTAAGAACACGACTGATTTACCGAAATGATTTACGAAAGATTCAATTTTACTGAATTTAAATATAAATTTGCTATAAATTTGCAGGTAAAAAAATTTAATGTATTATATATATATATATATATATATTATACTTTTAATTTATAACTTAACTACTTGTTTACTTTTTGTATTCAAAATTGCAAAAATCGAATCAGCCACTCAAGTAAAAAAAAAAGAAAAATTGTTTTCTCATCAATCTAGAAATATTAAGTAGATAATTGTTCTCACACATAATGCAAAGTTTTCTTACTAAAATTTAAAAAAAAAATACTAAAGTTGGAGGAGTTGTGCTACTGTGGCTGTGTGTTTTTGGTGGTTTTTTTTCAAAAAAACCACCATGGCAACGACAGATGCGATTCGAGAAAACATTATTGGGCGGCTTCTTCAGGCTGTTGTTCCAAAAAATAACGATCCCTATTTAATCACGAAGCGAGACGATCGGTGAGGTAAGAGCGATATACATGTTTATACGATATATGTTTATATCTTACGAAGGAACTTGAAAAAATTTCATCACAACAACATCACGTGTACAAGCAGCAAGGGAAGTATTCAGAAATGCTTTCATCGTTCATACGTTGTGTAGATCTTCGACCGACCGCAACCATCGGAGTCAAAAGTATTAAATGTGCGAAGAGAAAATAAGGTGTCAGTGTTTTCACATGTTACATTACGCGTGTGTAATGTAGAGCAACAATGTCACAAACAAGTTTAATTTCTTCTACATCCGATAAAAATCAACGCAACAGATGGAATGCTATAATTACCGGATATAAACATAGTACGCCAGACTCTGATAGAGGTAGACAAATAAAGCCTCTAAGTTTATCTTTGTCTCAGATCGAATCAACATCTTCAACCGAGAGCAGAAAAGCTGTTGAAAAGAAATTATCGTCTTCAGTACTAGGAGGTATAAACAATTATTATATTCAAATGTACTATAATTTGTGCTTTTTTTATTTTGAGGAAAAAGAAGAATTGTGAAAACCTAAAGTTAATGTTTTGCCCATTCATGTATTAAGTAATGTCATTTTGTTTTTTACCGTTTTATTATATATGTTTATATAAATATATAAATATATACATATATAATTGTATATATTATATATATATAATTTTATATATACAGTGAATCTAAAAAGTATTGGCACACCTACATTTTTAAAAATATCTTTATATAGTAAAGTAATATATTAATATACAAAATATGTCCATTAATGTCTCATGATATACGGAAGCAGTGTATTTTTCAAGAACTCTCAATATTGTAATTGAAACGAAAAAAAACAAAAATTTTATACTCAAAAAAGTATTAACACACTTGCGTTTTACATAGGAAATACACAATTTCTGTTTTTAAAGTTTTTAATACGAAACAAGTTTTTAATCTTGTAGTAAATTATCTCGTGACACATAGATATGCATTCATAATTTCTTCGATAAATGCTAAATTTCCAATTCCATTATAAGACCTAAACCATTATGTGCATTATTATTAAATGTGAGTGTGTCAATACTTTTTGGAGCCACTGTATATGTACACATATAAATAAATAATACTGTATTTAACCATATTCATACAAATTAAAGAAACTTTATAGCTTCATAAAAAAAGAATGTCTCTTATTATATCTTTCTAACTTAAAAAACAATTACACTTTACTTATCAAAAACGCACACATATGTCTAATATAATTTTAAAATGCGACAGAGAAACGAAAAAAGAAAGTAAAAAAAATATCAAGTAGAAAAAAGCGAGTGCTGATTCGACGGAAAGACACTGATAGTGAATGGGAAACTGATACGGAAGAATCAATCGGATTTTCGGATAACAAAAATGTAACAATCGGTGCTCAATCTGAAACTTCGACATGCAACGTCTCTTCATTGCGCATAAATTTATTTGAAAACAAAAGATCATCAAAAACAGGTCAAAAAGTGTCAATCAAAGATGAGACATCTTTAAACGATTCTCCGATTATTATGTCATCTAGATCTAGATCTAGATTTAGACGTACAGAAAAGAAAGACATTCAAATCGCGCAACAAGATAAGTTATTATCGGTAAATTTATCACCAACGAAAGCACAAATCGAAGAATCGATCAAGAATTTTGACAACGAAGTAATCCAATCTCAGACGCAAGCTTCGATAAATCATGTTTTTTCACCGCGCATAAATTTATTTGAAGATGAAAAATCACCGGAAACAGTTCGAGATATACCAATAGAAAATGAAAACCTTTTAAACGATTCTTTGATTATTATGTCTTCCAGACAGTTTCGGCATATAAGAAAAGACGACGTTCAAATCGCACAACAAGATGAGTTATTGCCGATAAATTTACCACCAACAGAGACAGAAAAAAATTATTCAGGAATAAGTGAAAATGAAGATGAATTAATATTTTGTACGTATCTCATATAAAAAGTATTTTTATTGAAAATAATTATACTGTAGCCTTTAAGCTTTGTTTAAAAAGTTAACACTTGATCCACACATTCAAAAACATCTTTCTAAACCTTAAGCTTATTTTTTAAAAATTCATTTTTCAGATTTTTCTTATTGCAATATTCTTACTTTATAGTAACATTTTTATATTTCTTTTATTTTAGTTCTTTCCTTCCCTTTCTCTTACAATTGCATTAAATTTTTATCATTTTGTGTTATAACATTTTTTTAGTTAATTGAGAAAATATAACCAAAAATTTGTGCATTTTCAGGTCGCAAAAGCAATGTGAAGACATATCCATCTGCACGGAAAGTAAAACCCGATCGATATATTACGGACTTCCTATATCCTCCGACATTTTCATTACCATCATTGAGTGATATATTGTGGGATCAATTTATTGGAAAGCGTCAAGATGAGAGAACTCAGAATTTAACGCGAGCGCCAATAACGTCATCGAGCGCTTCGCTTCCTGTTGTTTCTGCAAAATCAAAAACAACTTTGATTCCTCAAAGTAGTACAGCGCGCGATCGAGACAAAACATCACACAAACAGAACAAAGATATCAAAGATTGGAATAATTCCGAGTATGAAGATATATATAAAACTCGCAAACGTAAGACAGAAACTTATGTTAAAAATCAAACAAAAACTCAAAAAAAAGCCAAGACAAAAAGTGTAAAGAACAAGACAACAAGACAAAAAGAAAAAAAGACATTATTTCGACATACACAAAGAGAAAGAAATGTATATAGTCTTGATAATACTGATGGTGAATGTGATACTGGTGGTGCAGATGGTAGAAAAATAACTTTTTCTGAATTTCGTCATCGTCAAATGATGAAGAAAAAAAGTTCGACAAATTCTCACTTGAATGTTGAAGAAGTCTAAATATGTATTCACGATATCTTATATATATTTATTTATATATTTTATATATTTTTTTATATATTTGTATACCTTATTAATTTATATTGTTTTTGCATTTGTTCAGAAATTTCTTTATCTCTCGATATTTATTTGTCAATTCTTTTTCTGTATACAACAACATCTCTGTTAAATTATAGTAATGTAACAACGATGTTATATACATGTTATACATTATAAAAATATATATTGTTTTTATATTTCACTTTGTATTGTCAATTTTTATTTTTGTTGTAAGCCTGTAAGTATTTGTCCAACTCGTATATAAAGTCATATTAAGAACATTTTGTTGCTTAGTTAAAAGAAAAAACGATTATTTATAGTACTTTGTATGTTCATCGATTAAGAAATAAATTGTCAGTCGTTTTAATATTCAGCCAAAACTCCGATTGTTTAAATTAATAAATGTCATTTTAAATATCTTTTAACACGTAAGTAAAATACGCTATATTTTATTTTGATCTTATAAGCAAACGGAGATGATGCTTAACCTTTTAAATCAGAGGGGAATATAAGTTTGGAAACTTATAATAATATTTGTGCTATGTTTCATATATTCCCCTACTATTTCTTATATGCCCCTACTACGTGTGATTTTCCGCTCTTAAGAACTCATATTGTACTTTCGTTACATAGTATTTATCACGGTACTTTACACATATGTCATATAATTCATATTCTTACTTTTGTTTAAGAACAAAGCCAGACTTAAAAGGTACGTGTAAAAAATTATTAGAGTAAATATACATAAGTAATGCATTATTTTGTACTTAAAATGTATTCTAATTTTAATGTGTAATTATCTTTGCGGATTATTTCGTTATTACATGTTGTTACATACGATTATCTTTGGCAAGATTTTTTATTTATTTGGACGCGTTGTTATTTATCGTGCATAAGTTATCATTACTCTTATAAAAACATGCTCGATTTCTTTTAATTTTTTTCAAGTATGCTAAGTCACTTCGACTTTATCATATTTATGTTTGTCATATTTAATTTAGGATGTGGAAAGGACTACTTGTGTACATGATGTTTTTATTAAGCCTTGTATTATTACCTAAAATTATAATGATTAACGCAACTGGCAAAGATGATCAGACATCAAACACAACAAAAGAAATTGTATATACAATACAAATCTTACGGAATACAATTTACAAAATTCAAACAATAACGCTCGACAAACCGAACACAAGAGTAACCGTATTCCTTTCACGGTTAAATTCAACTAATGAAGAAAAGTTAAATGAGACAGATAAAAAAAACTGTGACGATAATGACAAAATTACAGAATATTATTTAAAGATGCGGAAGATAGTTGAAAGTATAAAAAATATTTACGAATGTACGCCAGGTACAAAGAAGCGAGGAACAGCAATCGCAATAGAAATGTCTAATGATAAATTAAACACACTTACATCGTATTGCATCTTTGTACAATTCGGTCAAACAATTATAGGGTTTATATATATATTGTATGGTTTTTACTATATTTACAAGATTGTTCTTCACGAAATTGTTTTAATAATTTAGAATGATGATTTTTTTATTATTGGTAAGTACTGACAAGTTATTTTTGTTCTTGTTTTATCACGTTACATATAAATGCACGTAAATGCACAAAAAACACATAATTTGACATATTTAAATGTGAAGCATGTGTGACAAGCATATTGTTTATTCAGTTTCTTGAATATAATTTAGTTTCTCGAATATAATTAAGACACCAGAAACTCATTTACTCAATTCGTCTAGCGTAATGTTTTGTACGTAAATAATAATAATTTGTACGTAAATAATAATAATTTTTTGTACGTAAATAATAATAATTTTATATTATTTTCAACACACAAATTCAATTCACACATCTACACTTCTGCTCGATAAATATTGAATTAATAAGTAAATTCAACTGTAACACAAAATGTCCTTGAGATATGTTTCACTTGTGTGCATTTGCAGATCGACATGTACGTTTATAATGTAATCAATTTTCTTTCTTGACAAACTTAAAAAGAATATGGCATCGGATTTTATTTGCAAACTTTACAAAAAGACAATATTTTTTTGTCGACTATGCACGATCGAGCGCACAAAGTCACTTGCTAAACGAAATCGTTCCGTCAGTGTGATATCACGCTTCGGCGTATATTTTCAACATTTGTTATCTAATCGAGTTCACTCGAGTACTGAATCTGATCATTCGTGTTCAATCAGTTTTACTTTTGACCTGAACCAATACAGATCTTCGTCCCTCGTGATCACGTAGTCTCATTTGTGCGCTCAATATGGAAGACGCGAGTTCAAATCCGTTTGAAAATGATAGCTTTCTGCCAGAAGATGTGCAAGAAAAGCTATCGAGCATACTTGAAAAATACCAACAGTTAAGCGACGAAGAGAAAAAAGAATTTCAAAAAGGCGCATTTAACGTATTGTTAAAAAATTTGAACAAGTTACCTAGCAGTACACTTTTACCCATGTGGCTCGCGCCATATCAACCTTATATTCTGTTCACTATCGCGGTATTGTTCGTGGTTTTGCTGTTCGGTACGATATCATACGCTTAAATTCTATAAAATAACAATATATTTTACACACCAATATCTCTTTTAGATAACTATTACCGTGCTACTAGTTATAATAATTTTAACATATATATAAGCACATATTACCTTGAACAATTATATAATTGGAGTTACATATGTCAAATATGTCTTCGGAGTTTGTGTTATATAGTATACATATATTTATCGAGAAAGAAAAATTACAATACTTTTTTCGTATAAATTTTATTAAATATTATAATATTTTTAATATTTTTATGTTTGTGCAACAGCGTAATTATAACAATGAGTAACGATTCTTTTCTCTTTTACAGTGTTTTCAGCTCTTGTACTGTATCGACACAGATTTGAGCGAAAACGACGACAAGAAGAAAAGAAAAAACGCAAAGAGATCAAAGCAGAGATGAAGAAGAAGAAAAAGACATAAAATATACACATCAATCCGTTGTACAAAAAAAATATTTGACAAACTGCAAATTCCAACAATCGACAATTTATAACATGTGTAATATTCTACAATCTTAAATATTAATTAATATTAATATAAAACATTAATATTAAAAATACTCGAGAGAAGAGAGAGAAAGAAATAAAAAGAGATATGCTATATATATATATATAATTATATTATATAGAAGAAAATTTTTAGTAATAATATATATCAAAACTATGATAATAAAAAATATATAATATATATAATATTTTTAGTAATAATATATATCAAAACTATGATAATAAAAAATATATAATATATATAATCACCGATCTTAAAAATAAATTTTTTGATTTTTTAACTAGTTTTACTCCAAAAATATTTAAAATATTTTTCGCGAATTTGCTGTTTTAACATTTTACTCTATTTGACATTTTAATTGTTTCACAAAGAAAAAATTAATTTCTTTTTCTTACACAAGTTAATTTTCTGTTTCTTTGTGCTATTCTCTTACAGCTGTTGATTATATATTTATTATATTTATAGCTATATTATCGGTCACATATCAGGTGCTGACAAATCGAGTAAACTGGCGCACAAGAGTATAACATGTAAACCCTTTGTGTATATATACCTATTTAATGCGACAACTTTTTGTACGTATTTGATATATATTATTTTGTTAAAAAAATGTTTATTTGTAATAACATATAAAACTTACATTACAAAACATCATATAAAAAAAATATGCAATTACATATATCATTTTTGTTCATATATGCAGTTTATAATTGTATAATTATATAAAATTATGAACACTTCCACAAGAGTATATAATTATATAATTATATAAGTATATAAAAAGAATGGCTAAAATTATATAATAATTTCTAAATTGTATATAATATGTACATATATATATATATATATACATGTATATGAACAAAAAGCATATAATGATTGTATATAATAACAGAGTATATAATTGTATTTTTATATAGATTTTTGTATATTACACGTAGACAAGATTTACCAAAATATTACATACTATCCTTAATATAAAAAAAATAATATAGACAAAAGAATAACATAAACAATCATTGTTTTAAATCAATGTTTTAAATATTTTTTTATTGTGTAACATCAATTTTACTTATTATACATAGAGCTTTTAAATTTTTTAAAGCTTAAAAAAAGTTGACACACTACTGCTGTTTTTGTGCGAAAGGAATTATTGCAGTGCTCGCATGCGCTCTGTTGTAAGAAAATATGCGACAAATAAACTTTATTTTATTGGTAAATAATAGTACGCTTTATGTAATTTGGTCTCTTTTAATTAACATTAATATATTTACAATAAAATAAAATACAAGCTGAAGATAACGATTCTCTTTTTCTATGTTGAATTCTGATAGATCTAAAGTGTAACTAAAGATCTTTTAGATGAAGTCGCTTAGCAAGTACAAAACTTCAATAGTTTGCCTATTGTTTTTCGAAGAGATTAATTCAAGAAGAACTCCAATGTCATAATCAAATCTGAACTCGGAATTTCTTGATTATTAATTTTTGCACAGACTATTAAAGCAATGAGTTGATTTAAGATACCAATTCATAACATTTCAAAAAGTATTTATTGTGCCATGTAATTGACGTAAACATTCGTATAAAATAGATAACAAATTATATACTAATATATCTATATTTACATGTTTCTACTCTTACAATATCGACATTTTATATGTGTCTTACTTTCTAATGTTTGTTTTTTAGAAGCAGTTATTTATAATATTCTTTCTAAATTTCCATATTATACATATAACAAGTTTATATATGTAAAAACTTATGTTTTATATCTTTTCAAGAAATACACATAAATTTTACTTGTTTAATTTTTTAAGCTTTCTAAATTCTTAAATCTAATTTAATAACTTGCATTGATATTTTTGTATAAAACTACATTTTTTATAAAATCTAGAATTACAATAAAATCATAACATATTATAAACTTCAATTTTATAAATATTGTAAAGCCATGTTAGAATCTCCGCAAAAATGATATAAAATATTTGTTTCTTTTATCATGCTGCGTGTTTGCAATATATAAGATAAGAAAATATTTACTTTTTCTCTTTCATAATATATGCTAGGATTGTATTTATACACTTATCGAATAAATATATTTTATTATTGGCACATTGTTAATTAAGGCACTGAGTTAAGATTATATTTTTTATGAATTTGCACATTGTATAGTATAAAACTTACTCGGCAATTTTGTAATTACAGTAAAAAAATATTACGCAGTTATATATTAATAACAAAATTATATGTGTTAACGTTTTCATAATTAATGTTTTAAGGATTTGTACCAAAGCAGAGAATAAACAAAAAGTTAAATCAACCAATAACCGTAACTTAACTATGCTAATAAACTTTTACCTGTATTTAATATATTTTATACTTTTTTTAGTGTGGCACGTGTAAAGTAATTAATTGTGTAACTGTTTGAAAAAAAGTAATATTAAGAAATAACACACACACACAGTCACGCTTTATCTATAATCTCTTTATCCGTTTTTATCTGTTTTTATATACTTAATAATATGGAAGATACATTTCTATATATTATTACATTACAAAAATACTTTTCTAAACAATTGCGATCAAATCGGGCTGCAATCAAACTCTTGCAGACGCTCGGTATCTACGTTAGATATACTTAGACTTATTTTCTTTTTCTCTCTCTCAGAAGAGAGAGAAAAAGATATTTTTCATATTTGAATAATAACAACACAGTGCGATTATACAAAATCTCATATTTACTTCTCGCTAATGTTCGCCTAATACGTTTTCTTTATGCCTACATAATTATGAAAAATGGAATAAATTCCATACTTTTCTTACAAACTTAAAAATTTGGCACACTATATTTGTTTCAACAAATAAACTTTCTTTTATAAAAAAAAATATTGTTAACACATTATTGAGTAATATTCAGCTCGATATAAATTCGATATATCCGAGTAAATATATATTAATAAGTACATACTCGGAAAATTTAAACTTACTTTTTTCTCTCTTTCGTACAAAACTTTATAAATTGTATATAACAGTAACTCTATAAATTGTATATAACAATAACTATAAAATATAACAATAACTACAAAGATCACATTTATAATAAAAAATCATAGACTTGCGTATAAATGAATTTTTTTTTTTCAAATATGATAGAGAGATATATATGGCAAAATATATCTTCTAAAGAAAAAAATATATGAGAAGACCTATCAGTATTATAATCTAATGATAATACAAATTCATAAAAGAAATTCATAAGAGAATTCATAAAAGTTTGTACATATACTTTGATACATAAAACGCCAACAATTCTCCAAATACATAAAAGTTATTCATATTATTTCACAATGATGTTTACTCTTTTGTATTCGGTTATCTGAGTTACATTGTTTATTATCCTAGTTGTTAATTGTAGAATATTTGTTAATTGCTATTTAAACCTGATATTTTTGTGTATCAGATTTAAATAGCAATTGATACAAATCGTACAATGATAAGTAATCATTTTTTAGATTAATCACATTTGTTAATCAATTGAACATAGCTATACTTTACATTACTATTCATTTTTCGCTTTAATGATCATATTGTAAAGTAGTTACAAAAGTATAAATTTATAAAAACTGTTTTTTAGTTAATTTTTGACTTTATCAGCAATTTATAACGGTCGCTAGCTGGATCTGAAATACAAAATATACATATATATTATATATTATTAATATATATATATATATATATATACATATATATTATTGTTAGTTAATTTAACTCATTTTGACTCATAAGTGTGAACAGATATTTACCTTTGATAGTCTCGACGAGATACATACTCTCGTCTTTCATATTTGCCACTAGCTCATCGGTGACAAGTACATGTATACCCTGTGGTCCTAGGAACAGTGTCGAATGCAATCGGTCGTGAGGCAAATTTAAAGTGCTGAGCAATTTATTCGTGAGCGCGGTACTCGTCAGATTGTCAAGATAAGCGGGTTTCCAGGGTGAGCTGTCGCCTTCGAGCGAAAAGTAAAGAGTAAGTTTCGGAGCCGGTCCCTTAGAGTGCAGCGTATTGAACAGTCGAATACCATCCGCTACTCCACAAATTTGAATGAGATCCTCCCGAGACAGAAGCAGAATATCCGATGCGGAGAAGCTTGCAAACGTCGATTCGAACGCGTTGAACCGACTCGCGCGAAGCCACGCAGTTGTTTGTGTAGCATTTGCGTCGGGTGGTAACTTGGTAAGACACGAAGTGCTCTGCATAGATAAAAAAAAGTTGCAGAAAGAAATCGAAAAACCTTATTTCTTAAAAATAGCAAATTTACAAGTAACACAGTTACAAAGTAAATTTTATAAATTTTGTTATAAAAAGTAAATTAAAACATTCAAAAGAGAATATTTTTTTCTGAAAAATTATTTTCTGAAAGCTTTGTTTATATTTTTAAAAAGCAAATCTTACAATTGTCTGATATAAGAGAAAGAAAGAAAGAAAGAAAGAGAGAGAGAGAGAGAGAAGCATTTCAAAAATAAAACATTGCAGTGTCAGAAAAGTTGGCTTATATATTTCTGGCAACAAAGATCTTTACTGTTTTCATGGACTCGATTAGGTGTTGCGGAGAAGCAGTTTTGCGTGCAGCCAAACTAACATCAGCTTCAATGCACGTTTGATCTGGCAATATGGCGGCGGGCGATGGCAAGGCCGGCGCCGTTCCTACGTTTTCCTTCACGGCGTCCGAAGCAGGAATCAACGGTACAATACCAGAATTAGAAACCGAAAGTGCCAGCGGGGCTACTACCGGAGAGGAATTGCCACCCACTGTCGCACGCGTCTGCGGTGATCTAGAAAACAACACATTAAATTATTGCACACATATGCACACGTATGCACATAAATAATCTTTTTTGAAAATATAAAAATATGAGTATAGAATAAAAAGGGCATATATATATTATATTAAAGCTATTTTAACATGTATATTTTTTCTATATATTCTATATATTCTCTTTTTGATCATTCTCTGTCAATAACTTCGACATAAAAAACTTTTCAAGATATAAAAAACTACTACTTCTAGACTCTTAACTTTTGTGTCTTCGTTTACTTTGTAGCACACTGTAAAATGTTGACGTCTTGGCATTTTGTTGAATTATCTGCTGTATTATTTGCGCAGGTGACATAAATTATCGATTATTGACAGTTATTATATGCCAAACTGAATAATATCGTGAAAAACAAAGAAAACCGAAGCATTACGAAAGAAGACATGTGTCTTTCGATAAAAAACAATATATGTTTAAATAAGAAGTAAAATCGCTCGTGAAATTGTTAATAAAAGTTAAAAAAGTGAATATGAGACTAACACAGAATAATCGTGTATAAACTGTAGATCTTTATTTGAAATGTAAGACTTTTCGATCCTTATATTGAATCTTTTTTATTAACAAACTAAATATAAATATAGAAAAAATATATATATAACTACAAATGATTTGACAACATCATTCAAGAAACGCAAATTACCAACTGTGACAAATAAATAAATAAAAATATCTCACTTGAATTTGAATAAGTTATTCATTAATACATCAAGAATAATGATCTTAATTGATAGTTAATTAAATAAATAAATGAAAATAATAATTTAAAAAACTAAGAAAATGAATTTAATAAGTAACAATAAAAAAAAAAAATATGTACTCGGTAAAAAAAATAAAAATTTAGAAAAAAACAAAATACGATAAAAATTCACACAGCTTAAAATCAAATATATGCAATATCTTTACAATATCCTTTACAATATATGTAGTTTCCTTTACACACAACATTTGATAACTACCAAATATGTTTGGAAGTCGAATCTGATAAACAAACATATCAACGTTCTTACGTGCTAATCTAAACATTTACCTAACTTATCCTATCAATATCCTTGATAACTTATTTTTCATACTCAAAACAATGTTTTCGAAAAAGTTTTTAACTCTCATATTTTACGTATTACAAACAAACTAGATCATATTAGCAATGTTAAGTTTGGGAAATCTTTAAAAATCATTGAAAATCTGTCTTTTGTTTTATTAACAAAAAAAACAAACATGTTTAAACAACAAATAAGAAATTGTCCAGAGATTTATAACAATTGATTGTATGGTTTCTGCAGATTTTATGTCAAAAAGTCTTACATTTTTTAACATCTTTAATATTTTTAACATCCTTGACTTCTAACAAGTTTTGTTTATTGAAATTAAATAGACTAAAATTTTCTCCCAGTTGTGTGGTAAGTCCATCGACATTGTTAGGAATATTAAAAAAGCTTGACAAATCATTTATCTTTAATGTCAAAAAAAAGGATAAGTCGTTATGTTAATAAAATCAATAAAATCAATAGAGGTATTAAAAAAAACTATTATTAGTTGACTGTTTGTCAATTGTATATAATATAATATGTAATATTTAAGCTGTGTGAATTTTTATCGTACTAAGTTTTTTCTTAATTTTTATTCTTTTTAACAAGTGCATTTTACTTAATTTTTTTATCGTTACTTACTAAATTCATTGTTTTAGGTCTTTAAATATTATTTTTATTTATTTAACTCTGTTCTATTTATTTAACTCTGTCTGGACTCTCGGAAAAGCTTTTTAGTTGGACTGATTGTGAGTCTGTGGAACTTACGTGACTTTAAAAATAAACATTTTCGCGAAAAATCAATAGTTTTCAATTTTTGTTTTTTGAATCTAAAATTTGAATGATTTTGCCCGTCGGTAAAAAAAACAAATTGAAACAATCTTTAGTAGTTTTAAAAATATAAACGTTAAAAAAAAACTAATTTTTACCAGAAACGCCGATTTTTAAGTGGATCTCTGAGATCTATGTCAGTCCACGAAGAGTTAATTAGCTATCAATTAGAATCATTATCTTTATTTTTCCTGATGTGCTAATGAATAACCTATTCAAATCTAGGTGAGATGTATTTAATTAAGTTTAATTTTTTTAATTGTCAGATTTAAATTTATGTTACTTGATGTTGACAAATCATTTTTAGTTACTTATGTAAGTTTTATATTTATACTTATATAAATATGCAATTATTGTATAAATACGCAACTTAAAGGAACACAAGAAACGCAAATTAAAATCTGGCAATTAAATAAATAAAAAGATCTCTAAATACATATTTATAAATAAATATATGTATGTTCTATATATATATTTTTTATGTTTATATTTAGTTTGTCAGTAAAAAAGATCCAGCAGAAGGATTGAAACTGACAAAGATCATCTGATTTTTCATTTCAATTAAAGATACAATTGTCTACACGGACATCTTGTATTTAGTCTCATATTAATTATTTTAATCTTCATTAACAGTATATTTATATATATTATATTGTATATTTACTATACTACATATGCACTAAAGTATCTTGTTTATGATTCATATTGTAATCTGAAAGGCCAGATATTAAATAGAATAGATGTTCAAAATATATTTTCGAAATTCATCAAGTGTTAAGTCGATGGAAGTGAAATAGATCAATTACGCGTTCAACAATTTTAAATTACAATTTGCACTACAAATAAAAGAAAACAAACCTGATACAATTTAGATGTCTCGATGTAAGATAGAAACTGAATTAATTTTTTGCAAGCAAATTCATATCTCCAAACATGTTGCATCAAATATAAATATATTGTTACACATCGAATGAAAATCGTGACCCTGACACGATTATGTGATAAAACTTTGATACATTTTTTTTTTTAATCTAAAAGATCCTCCTAGTCAAATGCGAAAAACATGTAGACACAATTTTATTTATCAAGAACTTGCGAGATAAGAAAAAAAATAGTAAAGGCGACTTTAAAAACTCATTTGATTAAGATAGAATATCGCACTATCATGTACAATATGTTTTCTAAATCTCATGAATGTTTCTATCTGTTTGCGTCAAGCAAAACATATTTACAACACTTAATTTTTTACAATTTTAGTTTATGCGCGCGCAACAAAAGAAACTATTATTAACATCTTTTATTATCATTATACATCTCTGTCACGAATAGAGATGTCTCATCTTTTAAAGGAAAAGAAAATCATCAGAACATCTTACACAGAATGTTTCTTCAAGCGAAACACGAGCTTGACTGCACGAGCTTTCTTGCAACCGTCAATTTCCTTCGTATCCAAACGCTTCCTTATCTGGAGACTCACTAGCCCTCCTCGCATGACGCATTTTCTCTTCATTCGTCTATTCAGCAAGGCATGGACGAATCTGGCGACGACCTGCACATGCGGCGGCCCACCACTCACAGTAACTTCGTGTTCCAGAAGCCATGTGACGAACTGATCAAGCGGATAGCACGGTCGCTTGATGGACCAGCAGCTTTTCAAATCCCAGTAATCCCTCGACATATTGAGAGAATGAGCGTTTTCTTGTTTCGATTTTAAAGTAAATCTGACGAATTTTTCTTTCTCACGACAAATCCTTTTTCTCTTTGAAGGCCTTCTTGCGGCTCCTCACGCGCTCATTCATAAACGCGGTGCACCCGCACGCTCGAACGTCCGACTGTTCACCAATGAACGTCCTGCCACCCATTCGTGGTCGTTATCGAGACGCCGTTCCCGAAGCCCCAATCTCTCCGAGATCGGTGCGATTGATGTCGATCAATTACCCCGATAGCTGACCGCTTTCATCGTGCAAATAAATTTGAAATGCAAAATTATAATTCGAGTCGTCTTGTCTGTGGCATCTGCATTGCGTTTCCGTTACCGAACCTGAACTGAAGTCGCTCGGTATGAATTCATGTAATAGAGAGAACTCTGGTCTGTTCGTTCGCTCGGCAGATAGGATCAGTTCGAGTCAGTCGGATTGCATTTGTCTGCCGCGAACCGGATACCGCTAGTCGTCCGCGACGTTCGTTCGTCGGCGAACTCTCTCGAAATTCTGACCTTCGCGGTCTTCGATAGTAGTCTTTCGCGCGTGCTGCTCTTCCAAGCAAAAATCTTGCGTGATCAGTGTATACGTCGTATATATTTTTTGTGTCGTTTTTTTTTCCTTTCTTTTCTCGTTAAACTAATGTTGCGTGTGATCACGTGCAAACAGTAGTCGCTTTGATAATCACTCGTGACAAATCTTGTGACTCCACAAACAGAGTGGGATATCACGTGTGTTACGTTTCTCGGAAATTGTGCAAATATTTTAGTTTTGGTTAATCGCGTATAACCGGTTTGTCGTTGTTACAACCCGGTTTGAGAACTGCTGTGTTTGCCTTCCGCTCGTCCGATGGACTACAAGAGAGCAAACTTTGTTTCGCACAAAGAAGTCGCGCCGAGCCTACAATAATTTTATCCTTCTTGAGCGACCTGCGTGCGTGTCGCTATTTTGCAGTCGAGCTTAATTGCAATGCGCGTTATAACATGCGCGATATTCTATTGCGTAAAAAAAAACAACACTTTTCTGATGCGCGCAAAATATATATATGTCGTGTTACTTCAAGAAATTCCTCTCCAAAGCGAATCACAAATCATCTCTCGTTGTTTTACAACGCGACGAATGTTTCGACGACAAGATGAATTTAGTCTCGGAATCAACTTATTTACTTAGTACAATTGGTCTTATTGGTCTTTTTCACGCAATAAGTGATTCTTACAGCTCCCTAATTATTCTCCCCTTTATTTTCTTCTCAAGACTACCGTGGATTTCACGATTCCAATTACGTTTCCTCAGAGAGTGGCTCTCTTTTATCTTTGTTGTAATCGGATTTTTTCATCGATTCTTCTCTCATGCTTATTCTCTCTCTCTCTCTTTCTCTCTATTTTTATTCAGAACCTGTTTTCAACCTGATGTTTTTCAACAGTTCCCAAGCGAATCAGGAAGAAGACACGGAATATCTTCTTCTGGTTACGAGACTCTATTTAACCGCCCTGGCGTCAGCTTTTTGGCGGCAAGGCTGCTCGTCATCTGAGGAGATGATCCTGCCGCGACAGAAGCACATAGATGGCCAAGATATCATGTGTCAGAACAACGTTTAAATTAGCGACGAACGTAGCAAACAGTGCGTGCGAGACTCGCGTACACTCTGCTGGAAGTCTGGCTGCTACGACAATCGAGGGCATTCCTGAACGGTGCTCGTTCACGAATATATCGACTCGCCGGTTTGTCTGATCGCACTCGAAATAATAAACGTTATCACTTGTAGAAAAGCGCTCGATACATCACAGGTGGGTCTTTATTAAACGCAATCGCGAACTGTCATCAGCTATCTGTCATAAGTGATGCTTGGTTGGCGGTTTTTTATTGCATGATTAATGGCTGATTGGGTTGATTGAGTTGCACACGAAAGAAACGATGAGTCACACGAGAAAGTACCAGTTACTTGTTCAAAAGGCAGCGTAATATCAGATCGCCTTTAATCACGACACAATTCGGAGTCGGATACATCAACAACACGGGGAATGAAACTGTTCTTGTGACAAAATATAACGATCCACCTTTTTGTCTCGGAGCGCGATTATTTGTCCTTGTAATATAACGCGATTATAATCCCACTTCCTGTCAACAGATTCGCACCGGAACGCACTCGACTCGTACCGGAATGTACCAGACTAAGGTTAATTCGTTTATCTCAAGCGATAACTCTGTTTTTATTGTTACTTGTCGGCGCTTTGCACAAATCGGATTGTTCAAACACAAATTCTCCAACTTTGTATAAATTCGTCTCAATTATTTATTTTATACGAGCTGCACGCAAAAATAAACTTGATTCTTTGAATGTGCAACAACAAGCTTCAAACAATCTGGTTTTGTTTGAGAACAATGCGTATAAACAAAATGCTAATAAGACAAAATGGTGCTGAAGAACCTAAGTCAGTTGGTTTCTTCGAAAGCTCCGTACTAATATATCTCAAAACTTAATTTCAGTTGAGAACGAATCAAAGGATCACCAGTTTGGTTTGAGTACCAGTTTTTCACACGCACTATGTTAACTGCAATCTCGACCGCTTTCTTTCCGAGCGAAATATACGGTGAAGTCGCTTCAGTGGTTGGCAATTCTCGATCAGTTACTAAAAAGTGGATTGCACACTTTTTGTCGTCGATCGCGAGAAATGCCGGGTTAAACGACGTCGCAGACAAATCACGCGAGCGATGGCGATGCCGGTCACTGGTTTACTGGTTGATGAGAGAACATGCGTTCATATCAGTGAATCACGTTGGCGCAGCGGTTGTCATATCGTCGTACAGTGACGCGACAATAGGCAACGATATAAACGCGGTTCTGCGAGTTGAATGAATACAGCGGGATGATGAATCGACGCGAGAGACAACGCGATACACAACGGTCTGAAACTTATTCTCATGCAACGTATCTCTCTTTCCCACCTCATGATCGCTTCTCTTTCTTTCTCTTTCGCCAAGTTCTCTAATGTCCCCTCTCTACCAAGTGGAGACTGCCGTCGTGGAGATGGGGGACGCCGGCTCGCGCCAGTTCAAGCCAGTTTGTCGGCGACGATGCCCGGCGTCTACCTCCGCGTTCCCCACTTCCCGTTCACCATTACCCCGGTCTGAACAAACTCTACCGAAGGCTTAACCACTACCACTCTATCTTTCATGAGAGAGTAAACTCCCCACCAGCCACGAACAACTGACAACGTCGCAGCGGTTTCTGGTACAAACAAGAAATGCATAAATGTGCTCTTTGTTTCGTTTTTTTTTTTTTTTTTTGGACTCCACTTTTTATCCTGGCAAAAACTCCGAATAAGTGACGTCTATCTTATTTTGTTTTTCAAGAAAATCAAATATAGGTTTGCTTGTTTTATTTCTGCTCAAACGGAATGAAAATTCACAGAAAACTTTATTAGACATGTATTAGATAAGACATGTGAAGCTCTATATATGGATGTCTAACGGACATTTAACGAGATCTTTTTTGTGTATATTATCTTAAACATTCGTTTTGTTTCATATTTGTAGTGATGGGAAAACTAGAAAAAAAAAATTTTTTTTATTTCGTTGTCGTTATCTCTTTTTAATATTCTTTTTTCCTTATGTCCGATCTTCTTCTCTTTATCACGCGCAAGACAGAAAGAGGAAAACGAGGAAAAAAAACCTAAATATCTCGATTGAACCTTAGGAGGAAATATTTGTATCCATTCTTCATTTGATCATTGTGTCTGTAATATAAATCGGCTCTTATAGAGTTCGCTTGTACTTCCACGTCGCAATGTCGTGAAGGTCGTGGCGATTGCTAGGTAGATTGCTCGAGTACGAGGAACACGTGAACATAAATAACTCGCGAAAGCAAAAACACTCATCAAGTAGACATCAGGTGTCTCGGAAATGTTTCGCTATTTATATCTATGGAACAGGTATTTCTCGAATGCCGTACGCATGACGCAAGGACTTGCCCAACTACGTACTTAAACGCAAATCGACGTGGTATGAAAAAATCGAGATACAACGAAAGAGAAAATTGCAAGCAACCGGTCCCTGTCTCGTATATTAATTCTGTTAATTTCGCCCAAGGTAAATTATTAAACAAACTCGTGAAACAATTGCTGTTATCCCGGTTGGCCATCTCAATTTATTATCGGGATAAAAATAAAAAAGTCGATTTGTTTACATTTTTGGCCAACTGCGTGCATAAAACGCGCATAGTTGCAACACTTACTTTGCTATTTTTAGAGAAGCAAACACCCACACACACACCGTCCGCCATCGAAAGAACACAAATTATTTGACAGGATGATTCATGTATAAATTAGAGGCCCGAAACCCACTGTATCCAGAACTAGCCAGTAGTTATTTGTAGCAAATCGCAGAATTATAACTCGAAAAATTTGCAATCACAAATTTGCAAATGTACCCGATCCGATCTCGCGTCCCGATTATGTGCAGAAATGATATATTATTATAAATACAGTTGTAATATAAAGAAAATTTTGTTTGTGTGCAAAATATTAATAGCAATTGATTTTATATTGTTTTCAAGTTTCATATGATTTTCACCAACCTCGTAAAATCAAACGCAAAATGATAAAGTTTTTTGAAAAGATTACTTCAGTTGCTTGTTTGATGATAATATTAATTAAAATATTTTACACGTATAACACATGTTTTTTCTTCCTTAAATTCTTTGAAACGTGTTCAGTTTTCTCGATATTGTTTAGATTTAAAAAACTGGCAACAATCGAAAAAAGCGTCAATAAAAAAGAAATGGTACATCAACTTACATTGCATCTGTTGAGGCGTACGAACTTCCACCATTTTGAGTTGACAGAGTGGAGGACGATAAGGATTCTAGAGGAATCTATGAATAAAAACAAAATTGTGAGGTCCTGAGAAAAACAAGATATTTATTGGTCATTTTATTGGACATTTTATTTTTGATGGTTTTTTTAATTTAAAAAAATGCAATGTTTTTATTTAAAAAATAGATATTGTTCAGGGAAACTTACATCGGAGAGTACAGTACAATCGTAACTGGGTTGATATTTGTCCTGTTCGTGAGGAGGACGTCTCAATATTTTGTCCCGATCTTGCTTGTGCTTACGGTCTGCTCCCTTCAATTTAAAGACTTTCACCTGACACGAAGCGGCGTGTAGACGCGGTCCTCCTGGCAGTCGAGTCTCCACTTGTATTCGAAAAGGAACGCCTTTCTCGCCACCGTGTTTCTTTGGTGTAAACTCGGTGCTTATGCAATTGACCTAGCCATAACATGGAAGCTTACTGTTCTGCGGACTAAACATGACTAATACTCCTTGTCAAATCATTGCAACAGACAGCTACAAATACGTATATATATGTATATGTATATATATTGTGTACATATATATATCGATACATAAACCGAGAAAAACTTAACGTTCTGAGCATATCTCTCGTGTTAAAAGAAAAAATTATTTAAGAATAATATAAATTATTTATAAATAATACAACATCTCAAATTAAAACAAAAAATCCGAGTTATACATCAGCGTACTTTAATATAAACGCCGACTTCTTTTGTGGGATCCCACATGAACTCCACACTGTTGCTAGACGGCGACGGTTGACAAACGTCCATCCCATAGCTAAGGGGAACGTCGACTTCCAGTAATCTCTCTCCCGGTCTAGCGCGTTGCCAGGCCAGCATCTGCTCACGTTCCGTGTACTGCAACCGTCGCTCGTGGAAGCAAATGCGGATCGTCGACTGGAACAGAAAAGTCGGATGTCCCTACAGAGGCGTTGTAGCACCGTTTGGGCGACTCACATCTTTCCAACGTCGAGGATACGCAGTGAACTTATGCCGATCGTGCGCATTTATTTAACTCTCCCATGTTGTTAGGTTTTGTACGCGTTTACAGTAATTAGAATATAAGATTACGACTGTAGACTCCGCAGTATTTTGTGGATTTTTTTTTGTGAAAAAGAAAAAAATAACTTATCGAATCGGCGTCAGCATGAGCTCGCTCGTTTGCCTTATGAAGGACCACCAAAGCGTTTTTTAAGATGCCGCTACCCAAACATTAGAAGCGTCCGAATAGGCATTTTTGGTATTTCAGAGTGTGAAGTACCTTCAGTATCTTTCCGCGATAGGCAGATAAATCGCCTAATTTTTTCAGTTTAATCTCATACGGCTGTCCCTGGTTCAGATACGTCAGCGTTTCTTCATTCACCTTAGTGGCAATGCTGGTGGCAGCCGCTAAGACATACTGGAAACTGAAAAAAAGTTATGCTAAAAGTTATACGTAAAATTTCGTTTTTCTATTAACCGTTATAAATAAATCAAGATGTGATAAAATTGTTCTATATATATATATATATATATATATATATATATATATATCGTGTATGTGATATATATATATATATTGCAAATAACATTTATTTAATCTAGAAAAAGAGTATATATACACATATATGTATATATACTATATATATATATATATATTTTATATGTAATCTAAATTTTGATATTTTAATTATCGCTTGATAATAGCGCACCGACAATCCTCATTTAATTCATTTCCTTGCTGGGAAGAAGATACATGATTGGCCGCGGTTGAAGTCGGCGGGTATTCCTCATTGGAGGAATATAAAAGTTGATGAAGACTGGTCGCGGTTTGACCATTGTTGTTGCTGTCAGCTTCGATGGAGCCAATATTGTCATTGTTGGACGGCACTGTAGTGATTGTTCTTTGCGAAACGTGATTCAAACTAAAATAATAATATGAAGCATATAAATACTATATATATAAAGTAGTGTGTGTGTGACTAAGTAAGGTAGATTAGAAGTAATAAGGTAAATTAAGCTAGCGGATAAAATAGTTTGTAAGTTAGAATATATAAAAAAGATAGCGGTTAAGTTAGAAGTTAAGTTAATATGTAAGCTAATTATATAAGAGATGTTTGTGAAAAACAATTGAAACTTTTAAAGAAGTCAACAAAAACTTATATTCATCTATTTATATAAATACAATATGTGATAACTATTAACATATAGAGGAAGTCGATATCGCAAATATCGCGCGCGCGCCCACACACAAAATATGTATAACAATTTCTTGATCAATACCGAGCCACACTCACTACAAGTTAAAGAAAAGTTGAGACGGCGATACGTTCAAATTTGCAGGTGTTCTCATTCTGGCTTCTGACATGCGGCAAAAATTTTCACTCAGTCACATCAAACGCGAAGTTTCATCTCGTACATTCTTTGCCGCGCAACACTTGTTATTACAATAACACTTGTTAGTGTAATAACACTTGTTATATACCAGGTTTCTTTACACACACACACACACACACAGATCACCAACTTGCATACATTGCACCTTTTGTCGCGATATCAACACGCCGACTGCAGGAGCGCAATCGCAAATGGAAAGTCGCTTCGATGTATGTTTACTACACAAGTGATTTCATCATTCGTTTAATCAGTTGTTCCAGAACACTCGATTTTCCGGACCTCACTCATATATATATACCTTTTACGTAATCTATTTCACCCGGAGAACAACGAGATCGCGAACCGTCCTCTCGATTTCATCGTTCTACATCGATATGCTGATTCACGCTCGCGCGGCAATTATATTCATCGTGTTTTTCCCGCGTTTATATCTGAACGATCGCACTTGAATGAACTTTAACACGAACAGTGATTTTCCACGGAAATGCGCGAGTGGAAGAACTAATTCGAATGTGAGAAATGATCTTACATTTTGGAAGCCAGAAAAGCTTCCAAAATGCTACAAATTTTTAACGCAAAACACTTTACCAACCGCAGTTTCATTGATTCTATAAAAAATAATTAAAAAAAATCGAATAAAAGATCCGGAACACAGTCGCGAAAAACTTCTATACGTAAATTGTTCGTTTTTATAAATTTTCTCATCTCAGAGAGACTGTATCGTATAATTTTGTTTACATGATTTGACTCATGACGTTTAACTCACTATGTCCCTTTCAACTATACGACGAAGAATTCTGTCGGATCTTTTATGTCACCACACACATCATCGCACACGTGCCAATATCACTTTCGACTTACATTTTCGATTGACGCGGTCGAGTATTTATTTAACGGAATGCACGCGTCGCGCGATAAACCAAGAGCGTTAAGAAGTCTGACCCGAGCGAGAGAGCGGCTCATTCTCTCGATAGATACCGCCGAGAACGAGTGCAACGATACGGCTTTATCTGCGACTGTGTCTCTTTGCGGGGGAGCAGCGCGTGGCAAATTCCGCTCGGAATACTTCTCATCCCCGGATCACCCCGAGAAAGAAAGATAAACGTTCTCGCCTTCGTGTTGTGGTTGTAATCGTAATGATGTCAGTCACATTAGTAATTGTCATTTGAACAACTTTATCATTAGTTTTAAGACAAACGGAGTATTCTTGTGTGTAAAAGAAAGTTATTTAATTCTCGGAAAATACAGTGTGGACACGTGAAATTCTACATTCTCTAATTGTTTCGACGTTCGTTGATAATTTATTACTGAGTGTTTTTTTAACGCAACAATTTCAAAACAAAATGACAATTTCCGAATGACAGTTTCTGAGGTGAGAAAAAAAATATAATTCGTGCGATTTACTTACTTGGAATTGTTGTGCTGATTTTCAGGCGATGGCGCCTCCTGCTTGAAGACTGGTAACGCTGGCAAAGTGAGGAGGGCTTCGCTGAAAGAAAATGGGAATTATATATAATATATATATATAACTATTATTATTGTATTGATATTGTTATATTGATAAATTCATTTTCTCCTAATCTCTTGTCGTATTTTGTTGTAGATACGAGAATTGGAAATTGTTCTTGTATTTGTTCGATATAAATCTAACATCTCACGGCAAACATTTAATACAACTTATTATGATAACACATATATAAATATTACTTTCTTTGTTTTGTAAAACTGTACAAACTGTACATTATTCAAATTTAATTAATTTTTAATTTATTTTTTAAGAAGTATTTTTTTAAAGATGTTTTTAGAGAAAACGCTATTTTAATATTTGTTTCTTCTTCTTTCTATGCGATTTTGCGAAGCAATTATTTCATATTGTTAAAGAAAATATATATAACACAATGTGTTGTTTATTGATCCAGTTTTCTTCGTAACAATAACCTAATGATCTCGTTAACTCTGATAATGTTCCTCAAATGCGTCGATTGTATTGACGTAAAACAATATGACTGCGTCATAAACTAAAGATTAGGAAGTAACGTCAGCTCATCTTGAATACACTGAATACATTGATATACATTCGATAAGAAAATAATAATTTGAGAACCACTACGAATGTCGCGAGTCAATAAGGTCAGCGTGAACTGGAACAAACTAGTTGGCTGTATAACGCGAATTTAATCGGGGTGTAAAATGATACCGCAATATCAGAATATTACCAAAATTTATTTACAAAGTAACAACATTCAGATGGACAGAGATTCGAGAGGTAATCTAAACTGTATTCGAATCGTTTATGTTGCAATTTTAAAAGAGATACCTATATATACTTCTGATTTATATTATTTAACATAGGGTATGTTAGATTTTCTAATTATACTCAATTATTTTTCTTTCTATTTAATTTTTCAATAAAATATTAAATAATGCACTTAACCATATTACTTACCTAGATTTTACATATTGGTGCATTCCTTTATTTATGATTAAAAAAGTGGTCACATTATTTATGAACAAATCACGGATATTAGGCAAATAATCGCTGTTGATAATTACAATATTCTTCAATAACTCTGAAGCATAAGAGAGCTTTTTACCATTTTTATGATTTAATTTAAACATATAAACCGGGATACCAAAATTGATGTACAAGTGTGAACATTTTTAGTATTTTCACTAAAAGTTGTGCACCCCCTTATTTTTACACATATTGCAATTATATTACTGCCAACTATTGTTTCAAATATTAATTTTTATTATTTTCGATTATACGTCCGCGCAATAATTTTAAGATATTGTGGATTTGTACGACATTGAACGTTCGGTTCTGCACAACAGGACGATCGAGACTGACAATTTGTCGAACAATGCAGTAAATTTCGCGATGATTGCAGATAATTTCAGCTCGAAGATCTTAGCAATCGACACACGCCACTAAGAATTAACCGGTTACATGTATACTCGCGGACTGCGTCAGCCGGTTCCTTACCGGTTCGTGCCGCGCGCGAAACTTATTCGACTCGCGTCTTCATTCATGCACAAACACGCGCGTTTCATTTTTTTTTTTTTTTCGTAACTCCCTCCTATCTGTACGTAAATGTGCGATCAGCTGACGCAGGTGCGCAATTTGATGAGTCGACAATCCGATTTCGTATTTTTATTTTTCTCGTCACAAAATAATGTTTTGCCGCAACAACAAATGTAGACTGCACACACATAAATTTATAATGTATAATATAATTATTAAATAATTTAATTATTGTCAAATCGCGATATTGAATACTACACAAATTAGAATTATTATATGACTTATCGTATATGTTGTATGAAACTACCGTGTATCTTGTAATAAAACAACTTTTATTTAAAAACACGTCTTAATAAACAAAGAGAACTTAATATTAAAAAAATATATACATGTTAATTTGTTATCTTCTCATTCGTGGCTTCAGAGGTAGTATTAGCAAAAGATTGGACTTTCAACGTCCTTCGTAACGAATTTACAATACTTATATATTTTATCGATAAGATATATCTACGCGCGGTCATTTTGGTCACTCCTTCTTTCTTATTTTCGTATCTAAAAAATTCTCGTTCTAGAATTGTCTATTCTGTGATAATGAATCTGATTGCTATTTTATTACAAATTGTTAAAATATAATTATTTACTATATATAAAATTATATATAAATTGTACAAAAATTATTTAAGTATGTAGTTAAATATGCCATTATTCAAGTGTAAATACTAATTTTTTTTTAAATAAAAAATATATACACATATAATTTTTAAATAAAAAATATATACACATATAATTTTTAAATAAAAAATATATACACATATAATTTTTAAATAAAAAATATATACAATATAATTTGTAGAAAAGTGAAGGTGTACGGAAGATATTCTCATAAGATCCACCGATTATACACCTTTTTCGTCCACGTTGGGTGCTTGACGTACTCTCGCTCACGTGCGTGCACGTAACACACACCAATACTCGTAGCGGCAACCCGACCGGTTTAATTTCCCTGCGTGTCGCCGGTGCGACGCAATGCCAAGAACTGCTGGCCAGTTTTAACCGGATTTCTAGATCAACTCCGTTTGTGCGTACGGTCTCTCATTTGCGGCAGAGGCCTGTGCTACCGACTACACGCTCATTTCAAATGAGCGTACACTATCGACAGAGAACTCCCCTGTGTCTTATATCGTAAAACCGGTCGCCTAGCAAATGTTTTACTACACTTTTACGAAGCTGCATTAGATGCACTATCGTAACATTCTTTGATCGAGAGAGAAAGTTTCTTTTCAGGAAGAAAAAAATCTGAATATTTACTTGTCAAGATTTGTCTCTAATATTGTTTCAAATATAAATATTCTAATTTGTTTCTCTCTACAAGTTTCGAGTAACACTTACCTCATATTAGTGTAAGATGCAACGGCCGTTGCAAGATCGGACGCCGCGATAGCGGATAACGATCCATCGAAATCAGCGGCGAGATGCTCCGCGAGTTCCTCCACTTGCGTGGACCAGCCTTGACCGGAGCCATTGCTCCCTATGGATCCTGAAGTAACAAAAATATTTCATAAAGTCGTTTTGTCTTTAAACAAATTTTAAAATGTTTTATATTTTCTGTTTTTTTTTTTTTTTTTTTTGTACATTTATACTTTCTTTAGCGCAGAGTGAATTGCGGATGCGTCGAAAAAGATCTTTCAATTACAACAGCATTCNAACAGCATTCTCTACATACAATTTTCCTTTTTTTTTTTTTTTTTTTTTTTTTTTTTTTTTTTTTGTACATTTATACTTTCTTTAGCGCAGAGTGAATTGCGGATGCGTCGAAAAAGATCTTTCAATTACAACAGCATTCTCTACATACAATTTTCCTTTTTTTTATTTTTTATATATAAACAATTACATACGCAATTGTTATGTAACATCTGTATTTTTCAAGCAATAAACATGTGACGTAGCTTTTACGGATCTTAGAAGAAGAACCATGTGCGCAAGAACACAAAAGCTGCTGCGCGCGCTTTTTACGTCGCTGTATAGCTCTTTAAAAGACAAAAAAGAAAATTGTATTGTATATTTCGTTTATATTAACAATCAAGTCGGTTTATTTTTTGTTTCAACATCAGCAGCGCGTTCTCGTGTCGTTCTCATTGAGCACGCGTCGAAAATGCGTATCGTACCGCCTTGAGCATTGTTATAACCGACGTGAAGCTGATGCTGCATAATGCTCGGCCTATCTTTCGTCTCACGAGCGATGTGACGGCGCCGGCTTTTGCTGGCGACGACAGAGGGATAACGTCGACTCTGCAGCAGCGACACCCTCGATCTGTCGACCTCACACCACTTCATCCTATTTGGCCCGCGAGAATCAATCACACCACCGGGCAGGAACACACCACCAAAAAACTCACTTACTACGTGTGTACGCAACACCTTCATCAAGTTCCAGCCAGTATGGCGTTACTGATGTATCAGACTTCTCTCTCTTTTTCTGTATCTTTCGTTGTCTCTCCCTCTTTCCTCAACCAGACTAATCTACGCGATACATACGCGAATGTGTACTCATCAAACAAGTTATCAGCTACGGATAACCACGTGGGCGAAAAGGCGTCGAACGTAAGAAGATGGGAGCCGATCAGTCTTGAGACGATCTTCCGAAGCGACGTCACTTGAATTGCATGGCATAGCGGCGTTATCGTTTGAGCGACCGCTCTAATTGATGACAAATATTAAACGCAAATGTTGCTCTGGACAATTTCGAGACCTATTCTATATTTGTTAAATGCAATTCATTTGTTAAATGTCTCTGGATATGATGAAAGTCTTTATTCGAGAATATGTTAAAAGCTATTGTTGTAAATATTGCCGCATTAATTGGTAAAATTGAATTTGTATATTTTAAAAGTTTTTTTTTGGTCAAACACAGACACACCAGTGCAATAGTCTGTGTACACAATATTGTTTGAATAAGACAAATAAAAACTGCATATGAAGTAATTTGCACCTTTCTGCATAATCTACACTGACAAATGATTAGACTTTCTTATTATCTGAGCAGATAATAGAAAGAATTTAATCTTTTAAACATTTAAAAGCGACAGAGAATGCGATAAGGAATTTTTATTAAAAAGAACCGTGAAGAAATAATTGAACAGGAAGATAAAATTTGTGGCTACGACAGTGTACCAGGGGTCGCGCAGTCACGACCTTTAAAGAGATATATCTGCGTTAAAAGCTACAACATGATAATGACGTTCAACTTCGCCAATTAAACATATACAATACAACATGCTCTTTATACTCTCTATATTTTTTGAACAGAACTACATTTCTTACGAAAAATGAATTTTGATATCGCTACCAAAAAAAAAATTCAACATTTTTTATTTCTGAATATTAACTTTGTTAAGCTTACAATTTTATATTTATCTTTTATTAACGACTTGTAAAACAACGATCACAAAGTTTCGTGAAACTTCATTTTTTATTTCAATAAAATATATATATTTTGCAAATATATATATATACATTTGATAAGTCCGAAAATACATAAAGAGATTATCAGAAAAAAAAACTTTTATATATAGAAAAATTCTATATTTAATTATATGCAATTATATATAATCATTAAAGAATCTTTTAAGGCTCCGAAGTTTCCAAACTAATAAATATATATTCGGTCATGAGAGCCGTTCGATAGGTGTTGTGCGGAAATTATACGTGTATATATATACATATATACGTATTTTAGAATTGTTATTACAATTCGAATTTCACGTGTAAAAATTTACACGTGAACACGTATATATGTATATATATACACGTATAATTTCCGCACAACACCTAGCGAACGGCTCTCATGACCGAATATATATTTATTAGTTATATATATAATCATATATGAAATTTTTTGAGACAATCTCATGTATGATTGTACATTATACTCACATATCACCAAATATAGAACTTGTTTACATACATATAAAGAACTTTTTTTGAGAGTAGTTATCACTATTGGTTATTTTAACAAAACCGATTTTTTCATGCTGACACAATTGTTAAAATTAATAAATGTTTGTTAATCAACTTATTGTTTCTCAATTTGTAATAACGATCTTTTTTTGAGACATTTCCACCAAGATTTAGATATTGCAACAAATGATTTCCTTGTTAAGAAATCATAAATTTGTTCTTCTAATATCAACAATATCGACATGCGAATGAACGATCAAGTCTCGTCTACATGCATAGTTCTTGCGAATATACCAATAAATCTTTTTTTTTTAATACAAATGACAAATCTGACTTCGAATTCACATTATATCGATAAGTACTGCTAATCTAAGATGAAATAATTGATTTTTTATACGGACATATATAGTTATTCATGCAAATTTTTCTGAGTGATGTAAATATGAAACACACGCGTTTTAGAAATACCAACCATCTCTTCTGATATGTTTCTTCTCGAGTTCCGTGATGTGTTGCAACGGTTCTGTTGAGCGACGTTTTAGATTATTTTGGTGTTCACAGTTTGGAGATGATCCGCTGGGCGAGAGTTGTTGCGGAGAGCCATCGTTCAAATGTATGTGATTACCGCCGATCGGCGAATGTTTCGGCGAGCTGTGCTTATCTTGCCACAGAGAACCTTGTGGACTGTGATATCCCGTTGTGGTCTGAAACATTAGTAATTTTAATTAGTAATTAGTAGTAAGTGTCACTTTCAAATCCAAAGTCTTTTTTGTCTTTCGTAAAGAATTCAGTTTTGAAGATTAGATTATTGAAAAAATTAAAATTGAAATAGCATTACCGACGCGTTAAAATATAATTTTAAGTTGAAGCGATTATGATTTGTTACATAGATTACATATATATTTCACTGCAACGAGACTATTATTTAACACACCTGTTGAGAAGCCGCTACGACATCACACCTGTTTGGACGGACCGGCGACAGTTGGTCGTATGAAGGAGACGATGTGGGAAACCACATCGTTCCGTTCAGAGGTTCCGCGCCGCCGTCCATGATGAATTGGAGCTCCATTCAACAGCCTTCAGCCAACACCTGATGAAATTACCCACCGCCGATTGCTCTTCAAAATGTTATCATCTATATCCTACACATATGCGACCACTAAAGAGGCTCGCCTGCAATGTGATTTCCGGGCAAAGACGAATATCCACGTTAATCTTAGAGATCTCAGATTTATAAGAAGTGCCTTCTCAATCGTTTTTAAAGAGAGAGACTCCGTCGCGTCGGCGAATTCTTTAGTGCTTCAAAATTTTTCTCTCCTCAGGGAAGAGAAAACGCGGTTTTCTATCTTAAATGTGTATTACAACTTTGTTATTTTATTTATTTTGCTACAAGTTAGATATATTGTCAGAAAATTTCATGATTTCTCGGCAACAAGTCTGTGAGAGACGACGAGACACCTCTCTCTCCACGCTGATCTTAGATCTCAGATCGACGATTTTCGTTCTGTGAGATGTCCCTCTCTAGCCGCGAGGAGTACTCATTCCACCATGAATCTCTTTCGTGCCTGTTGCAGATCACAAGCTGTGCGTCCACCTCTCGCTGGCACCCCTCTCGGCCCAAATCCTCTACGTGCCCGGAAATACACAGGTGCATCACCCGACCGCCGGTGATCTTCAGAGGGTCGAGTACACGCGCGCTGATCGACTCTCTCTTCTAGAACATCACGAAAAAACTGTTGTACAGTTTTTTGATGCCGGTGGTCTCACGCTGCCGATGTGTTTCCAAGAGTGCACAGCCTCGAGACTTCAATGACAAAAAACGCGAAAAGACGACGAACGCGTCCTCGAATACCATCGCCACACCTTGGCTGCAACGCATTTTGTTCTTAAATGTGTCGGGGTCTTGCTGCCGTTTCGGCGGAGAATCACCTCCTGCAAAAAACAAAAAAAAAAAAAACGTTTTGAGATTCAAAAAGAATAATGGCAATCAGTCTTCTTGATTTCTTCATGTTTGACATCAGAGATCAAGCGCGCAATATTTTATTTTTACGCATCGTTACACTCGCAAGCAATTATTTAAAAAGTATCAATTTTGTATCAACAAGAATAAATTATATTAAAATTGACAAAATATATGTGCAAATATCAATATTAAATGCGGAAACAAATATAAAGGATGTATAAAAGAGATCGAGAATATCTTTGGAAAAAGCTGAGTTTTCGGACAAAAAAGGTTCCGTGTAATGTACCCATATTTTTCATATTGTAGAATTGTTTTTAAACTCTACATACACGTGTTTTGACTCCCTTATGTAAAAACGTCCAACGTAAAAGAATATTATGAAACATTTCAATATTATAAAAAATTCCAATTAGATCATGATTGAAATGTTTAGTTGACGAGAAAAATCGATGCTCGTAATGACAGTACATGCTACCATATGCTATCATTGTATGTGAAAAAAATATCCATCTTTATTATGCAATAAGTACGAAAAAATTCGGATCTTCCGAAACGTCTACATATTTACGTAATTCTATCATCAATATTCAGTATTTTCTTAACAAAAAACAACTTTATTATAATATTTTGAAAGATTCTCGAGAGTATGCAGTCAAAATTACAAATTTATTTGTATTAAAAAAATGTTTATACACAACCTCAACAATGTTGTCCAAGGTCACACTACATTGTTACGTAATGCGCCACTTAAAAACTTACAATTTTTACACATTTTTTTCAAAAACTCCTCTCTTCCAGATTTCGAGGTCCCGATCTTTTTTACACACCCTGTACGTATAGAATATTGCAAGTGTGTATGATATTTTCAAATAAGCCGTCTTTAACTCATTTCTTAAGATTGCGCTGTGACGCTTTAATATCACAAGAGCAAGTAATTAATGCATAATTCATTGCACGATATAATCTACGTTTCGAAATTGTATTATAATTCAATTAAACTAATGTTCACTTATCAGTAACCAATTCTGCTTTTGCGTGCGATGTTTTCAATAACAAAGAGCTACCTGCATAAATGCTTCCAGGAATATTATCTACTGCGTGGCATCTTTTAAGTGAAATTTATGATTGAGACTCGTCATTCCTACGCATTATATGATTTCATGATAATAAAATGTTATTTTTTGCATTGCGTTCGGTCCTGGTAATTTAAAGTTTTAAGTTTTGTTAAAAAGTTAAATGATTTACGACAGCAGTTGAATTCTCTTTGTTATGTAATAGACCAGCTTTGGACACGACGATATTAATAATCTGTGATTTAACAGTTAACAGGTTTTAAAAAGCGTAAATTCCGAGTATTTGATCTCTCAAAGAACAGCTCTCTATTGTATACATGTGATATTTATAAACTATATTATGTATTCCGCTAACCTTTCTCTACGGTTTAACGAGCGATGTCTTCCTTCGTCTCTGGTGTCCTCCTCGCGTAAAACTCAAATCAAAGAGATGTCGTCAGGATATGACGAGAAACAGAAGAGAAGAAGAACGTCAGTATCGTAGATCCAAAAACATGCCCGAGGTATGTAGACGAAGATACTTCTACGTGATGCCTTGATTGATGTCTTATCAAGATTTTTGTAGTGAGAGAAATAGATCCAAAATCCCAATGTGTGTTTTCACAACTTACGTTTCTCTTGAATCTGTGTAATTAATTCCAAATTTGCGCTTATTGGAAAACTGGCGATCAAAAACAGAAATATGACTCTCTTAAAAAAAAAGAGTAAACTCTCTTCGCTGCTTCGCGTGAAAATTCGAGAGTTATCAAGCGATTGGCAACTGTCGTCAAAATGCCCGATCACAGGCTTGACGTTACGTGTGTAGATCACGTTATGTATCTCAATGACTTTCTAACGACTATGGCTCACACACTGGATAGTGTCTTGGATAATGAAGGCCTTCGCCTGATCGTTATCACAACATTTTCAGGATCCTTCGCTCCATGGTGCCGTCTAAAACAAGAACCAGAAGAGAGGAAGAACGAGGCCTTGCGCGAATGACGTCAGCAATAACTCGAGTTTCGTCTGCCGTGTTCTCCAAAAAATAAATCTCTTCGATGACGGGAAGAAAAAGAAAAGTCCGTTTCTTGAAAGAAGAATCAGCGAAGGCTCTGGCAGGACCGAAAGAAAATTTAATCCTCTCTGCGACAAAATCCCACGTGTTTCTATTTGTTCGGAACTTGTATTATCCTGCCGTTTCTACTTGTTCAGGACAATTGTATTATTGTGCAAAGACACTACCAGAGTCTTTCGAAAAGCAGCAGCCAATAGAAGTAAGCCATTCAGTCGATAGTATCTTGATGGTGTCAAATATAGGTTGGTGTCGAAGTATCACCTGTTGCGATGCTTTAAAGATGGTATCGATGACAAAGAAGCACCTTAATAACGAAACCTCGTTTTCAAAAATTTATTCACCGCTCACAAAAGACGACGTAACCGGTCCCGCAAGATGTATTTCTTCTCGCGAGATTCGCGTTTCCCGAATAAATTGACGTGTTATGTAATAAATATTTCACAGTAAACATGCGCACTAAATATCCAAGTGGTTAATCCCTTGCGTCTCTCGTTAGATCCTCGTGACACGCAAGATTTAGGAGTTTCTTCAAGAAGCAAAGTCCGGCTGGCGAGACGGTAATCGATGGATTGCCTGGCAGTCCCAACCGCGAATGCTGGAATGTCCGCGGGTGATCCGATCCAATCGTGCCTCAAGGAATTAACAGCTTGGCCAATGGGCTGCACTGTCGAGGGTCGGCTCTCAATTGGTGGCACTCAGTGCTGATCAACGAGACGCGATTCCTTTATCCACCGACGTTGTCTCGTGCTGATCACGTTGCTTCGCGAATTCAAGTCGTCACAATTTACAGTCGTCACCTGGAGGATTGTGATGATGCGAAAATTCACTTTGCGTCGCGAATAAATTAAATTTCTGATTTATCATCCGCGGTTGTGTGCACACGTAACCGTCTGAATGCTCTCTCGCGGATATTCGGTTACTAACTTATCTCTCTGCTGTACGAGACGATGTCAAATTCGGAGTAACAGCTTCCAAGTGAGGTATTTGCGCTAGTTATCAGTTTATGATGTCACGAGATGATCATTAAAGATTTATCCTGTCTCGAGTTTCAGAGTTTTGTTGGTATGAGAAGAGAATATAAGAATTGCGTGACAGACCCTTGCTTCTCTTCGAAGGATGCTGACAATTTTCACGATCACTTTCCGAGATCAGGCTCTGCACTAAAGACAGAATTGTACGTAAGTATGTGTGTGTGTGTGTGTGTGTGTGTGTGTGCGTATGTGTTCAACGATGCGGTAAGAACACCAGCTGCAGTAGTTAGCAAATTGGCGTAGATCGCGACTGACGGCCGACGGCCACGACTGGCAGCGTCGTCTCGACAGACACGGCGTAAGAGCAACAGTATGTTTGCCGCGCGGATTAATTAGTTTCGAAGCGTTATCTCTGATATCGTGCTTTTTCGCGCGCCGCGACCTCGAAGGCTCCTTCTCTTCCGCGCGCGCGCTCAGTCTGGATGGCAATTTTGTCTCTTTTGTTCCTGATGACGTTCCGTGAACGTCACAACACGGTGCCGATATGTCTGTCAGCGCTGGCTTTGCAAATGCTTCTCGAGAACGCAATTTCTCGATTGCCACTTTTTGTTTGCCGAGAAAATTCTAACGTTGTTTGAAATGCGTTGTTCAACATGCGGTACTTTATCGTTCACAATTTTTTTTACGAGATCTTCCGCGTGAATTCTCTCTCTTCGGGTAACTTCTACGACGACAAAAAAATCTGAAACAGTAAAGGCGATAGGATTTTCAGGATCTCTCATTAAAAATGATAAAAAGAACATGGTTAAGAAGAAAAAGAGAGAAAGAGAGAGAGAGAGAGAGAGAGAGAGAGAGAAAGAAAGAGAAAGAAAAAGATTGCAGAATTATTTATTTTCAGATTTTAGTTTTATTAACGTTTTAAGTCATAAACATTGAATAAAAGCACAATAAAATAAAGACACTTTATCGTATACTTTCATTATTAGATTGTAGTTCACTGTTTCGAGTATACGCAACGTTTAAACGTTTTTTATTAAATGTTGAGTAAACACGTTATCGTCTTCCTCATCTTGTGATTCATAGTTCACGACTTCTTCACGCATCACGTCCATCTCTCTCGCTCAATTCCGTTCATGAACAATCGAGCAGTTCTCCTTCGGAATGGATCAGCTGTAGTTTGGTTGATCGATGTCAATCCGCGGGGTCACCGTTACGTACTTGTCATTCGCGTCGCAGCGAATCAAACGATTCCTAGAACGCGACTAGCGTCTAAGAAAAAATCCGAGAGTCCCATGGAACTTTTATAGGAAATAGCGAATTTTTCCATCAGTATGTTGCGTCGCTCTCATGTTGTTCATAAAGGAAACATCATCGCGCTAATCAACTTGTGTCTTCTTTCACTTATGCAATAATATAAAATAATTTTTTATAACTTTCTTCTCTGTTATTTTATAAGTTAAAAATCTATAGTAATAAAATTGTTATTATAATAATATTATTTTACACACTATAAGAAAAACGTAGAATGTTGCGTGAAATCTGCAAAAGTGATGATTATGTAACATGGTAATAATGTTATCTTTTTTTTTTAGCAAAAAGTAATTAATGTACAACAGGTTTTCTAACTGATTATTGCTGTGCTCGCAATATCACATTGCACTTTGAATCCAATGGACTTCTTTCTAGATCAACGACCACACAATGATCACTCTGCTTGTCTGACTTTATCACGACGAGCCACGACCTGGCTCGTAATAAACAAAGTTGCGCGACAAATCAATATATTTTTTATTTCAAGAAATATGAAAATCCCCGAAGAGGCAGAAACTATTTACGTCAATCGTCTCAAATTATAGAGACTGCTCAATTACAAGATCAAGTAGATCGCGATCGATGTGAAGTAATAGTTACAAAAAAAATTACGACTTATATTGAGATTAGTAATGTTTAGAGTTTTTTTACTGTTACTGCAATAAAATATTATTTTTATTATATACTTGTGTACGTATATTTTTTTAACTAAAGTTAGGAAACAAAGAAAATTAGCAAAACTAATATTTTAAAAAGTGTTTTTTTTTTTTTTATACAGTGACTATTTATTTAAATGCACATTTGATTGATAAGAATTTGCTAAACGTTCCTATTGATTTAAGCGTAAAATAATAAAAGTATTAAAGGAACGATCTACACAACACTGTTTTACTTGACGTGCCGAGACAATTCGAAAACGCGCAATATCTATTTACATCGAAGCGTGTTAGTCGCTGACGTAACGTCTCAAACAAACGTTCTCTTAATTAATTATTGTCACCTTTCAGAGACCGCTTTGTGTGCTCTCAGATGTCGTTAAACTGTATTACTAGGCCGAATTATATGTACTAAGTCGAGCGACAACGCTCGCGTGGCAAATTTTTTTTATCGGCACAATATATACAAGCTTTTGTGTATATATTGTAGCAATTGATACGATATATCGTAGCGCGGTGTATCAAGTGTCTCGCAGCTCGATGGCATTCATCTGCGCACTATGAGTCTTTTGACTCAAAATTGCCGTCGATCTCTGCTCATTATCAGCATCTCAGATGAGAGAGATAAATTTTGCAAGCGAACTGGAACATTCGCGGAAGAAACAAAATAGTCGACAAAGATAAGACTATATATTATTGTCGTTGTAAAAGAGAGAGAAAGAGAGAGAAAGAGAGAGAGAGAGAGAAAGATAGAGGAACACGATTATTTGTCACTGAATTAAACGAGTTGTCGACACGACATGAAGCGTGGAACCAAGCAGCTAGGCGCGTAAATCATAACGATGATTTACGACTGTGCGCGTGGAATTGTACTATCGAATAATGCGCGCTACATTCGGACTTGCAATCAGCGACTAAAAAATTGCGACATTTGTAAAAAGTTCGATCTTTGTCACAAAAACAATATCGTTTTGTATATATCTACAGACGTTTCGTACATAATAACAGACGAGGTTTTAGTAGGGCTTAATTAGTTTTAAATTATATAGCGTCGAGAGATCGTTTTTTTTTTTTTTTTTTTTTCAACCAAGCCGCGGGAAGAAAATTTCGTTTTCGACGAAAAAGTATCTCGGCTGGAAGATCAAGCCGCTTTTTCAAGAAAGACTCCGATCTTTGCGCTAATATGCTCCAGAACTGAAAAACGAATCGCTAAAGAATATACACAGAAATGATTTCCACAATCTTTGGAGAACGATGGCATATCACCGCTGTGTATGACAGCAAACACAAGTGTTAATATGCCGTGTACACCAAGAAGCAGCGAACAGATGCGAACACACATGCACGCGTCCGAAACGCACACGTGCGCGTCAAGGTCACATATATACCGGGAGTCGCTAATGGCCGAACCACGCACGTTCGCACCACGTGTTAAAGTCTTTTGCGCCGTCCTGCTTTCGATTGAAATTACAAAACCGGTTGTAACGCGCGCAGGTGTCTAAGCTGCCACACCGACGAATCGGAAGAATAATCAGCCACAGGATGAATCCACGGATGGAATAATACGCGGCTTCGATTAGAAAACGTCTTGTCAGAAATCATAATAAATGCTGGTTTCAAGATCAGCGAATAATTGACTTAAATTAGCTTATTTTGAAGCGAAACACAATCTTAGCGTATTAATAGGTGGTATTAAGGAAGATCACGCTTTTTTTTTTTTTTTTTTTTATTGAACCAGATTAATTTTTTTATGACAATGAGAAAGGAAGAGAGAGGGAAGATAAACAATGTGTTATGTAAGTGAGATAATTTATCGAAAATGTCATTACATTATTATCTGTGTTCGTAGATAACGTGACTCACGACGACAAATTACCACCGCAGCAAGGCCCACGGAAAGAGCGGAGAAGTATATTGTCGTCACGGCGACAAAGTATCATCTCGTTTCTGTTTGTCTCTTTTTCTGTTCTCTTGACAGAATTAGCATTTTCAATTATTCTCGGAAATGCAGTGACCAATTATCTGTCGTTGTTACTTAAAACGTTACTGTCTATGACAATAGGATTCTCAGTCACAATAAACTTTTGTTAATTTCTTCCAACGTCCGTTGGCATTCCCGCTCTAAAATTCCGCTCCAGACCTGGTATCTATGATTCAGGCCCGGCAGCGTGTGCAAGAGCGCTCGAGTGCCCAAAACTCCGGCGCTCGGATTGGCCGCGCCGTAGAAGATCCGCGCTACTCTGGAATGTAACAACGCCATGGCGCACAAAGGACATGGTTCCATCAGCAGAAAAACCCAATAACCCGTACAGAGATACGGACCGCACTTTTCTGCGTTACTGTCCTCGCGTTCTTTTCGATGCGGATTTTCAATTTTGACACCGCTGTTCCCTCGTCCTTTGCGCACGATTTCCGTCCCGAGCGAAACTCGACACGGAAACTGTAATGCGGAGAGAGTTTTCGGATAACAGAGAGGTGTTTCTTCCTCGTATCTTCTCTTAATTTTTTTCAATCGCTTCCGCAGACTCTCCTCTTCATCGGCAGTGTTCATCGGATCCGTTCTTTTATCGCTAGTCGTTTCTTTCTTTTCGACAGCATCTACTTCTTTTTTTGTGAAATCTTCATCAATCAATTGCCACGCACCGCCGCCGTGAAGCTTGGCAACAAGATCTACTGCTAGCATGGAGGCGTGCCACATAGGATGTCGATCGGTCCTCGCGGCTGAGATTGCCAGGATCCTTCCGTCTTCGGGATCGACGACCGCCGCGGCGCCGGTGCAACGCTCGTCACCGACCGCTTCCAACTTGGCAGCCTGTATTAACAGCGACATGATCCGCTCGATCGCGTGCAAGCGATCGTCATCAAATTCCGAGCCGTCAATCAAGCGCTCGATCATCGGTTCGGGATGAAAATTAACCGGCCAGATTTTCGAAGCTTGGCTGGCTTGTGACTTCGTCTTCGGCGCTTTGGACGGCACCTTTGTCACCTGGAACATGTCCTCTAATAAGGACAAGTTGAATCCCTTCTCCTTTAGTTGATTCTTAAGTTCATCTTCACTGAGGGAAATATCGCGACCTTTTTCCGATAGTTCGCTTGAGCGGAGGGGGGCTAAGAGTAGTTTGCCGTTGGAGCAGCGCTTCAGATGAGCGAATCCTGGCAATACAGTAGATATGCTCTGGATTGCGATAGAGGTGTCTTTCCGTTCTTTGAGAACGCCTACGTAGACCTCTTGCAGCGGAGGAGCTTCCGTAAAATCCAAACTTAGAATCGGCTTTGCCGTCCAGCTTCTGGTTGTAGCTTCCATCTTGCTCGCCTTGACACTCTTTGACGACGCCATCTTCCGGCCTGAAAAGATGCTGCCTTCACTTTTCGTTAGAAGATTCTTCGACATTGGTGTTTACGACGTGTTTCGTTTTATTAAACATCACATTGGTAAGTTTATCATTCTATTATTCTCTTTTGCAAAAGGCATTTTTTTTCTTGTTATTTTGATATAGTTGTTCATTTAGTTGTATGTTCATTTATTATCTAAGCTTGTGGCAAATAGCAGATTAGTTTAAATGTTAGGCTGAGTCTTTATTTACAACTGTTTTATATTGTTTTTTCAATTTCTTTAGCTCAAAGACATAAAGTTTATATTATAAGATTGTAAAATATACGACATATGTGTGTGTGTGTGTGTGTGTAGAATTTTACATGCAGAAAATAACGTTTGTAAAAAAATAGAATACGTAGACGCAAAACATCATCTGTTTGTTTACATCTCTCGGTTGTACACTTGTTGTACAACTGAATCACTTGAATAAGTTTCTACCAAATAAAAACAAACGCAAAAAATGTTTGTCACAAAATGCGAGAAATAAAGTTGATAATCAGCAACATTTCGAAATATCAAATGATTACGAAAGCCTTAAGGACACTTTCTCGCGTGCCACGGCCGTAAACATCACGGTGAGATTTCGATGAGAGAAAGAAAGAGCGACGATGATCCTCTCCGCCGGATGAATCTTAATCGTAATCGAAGTTACTCCGCGACGTATCTCCCAGAGCAGAAGAAGCAGAAGATTTTAAATTGCTGTCAACTTGGGCCACGGTCAGATCGATTGTCAGAGTTAGGCGCAATTGTATAATATCGCTGTCTGCGCGGAGAACATTAGCAAGACGCATCGTGTTAAGAAGTTCGAAGTTCGAGCCAAAGTTTCCTCCAATTTTGACTGCGCGCAAAAACAAGCACCAAACGTTTCGTGTTTAGCGTGGATTTTGACACTTCGTGTTTAATCGCGTCGAGGATAGAGCTGCTGTTTATATTATAGCGGAATAAAGAGTCAAGTTCGCACATTTCTTTCACAGTCTGACGAATGTAATAAATATGAAGAATATATACATTTGTAAAGAGAAAATCAACGTCGATTACTAAGAAACCAATCGTACAAATTATAAGAAGCAATTTAGTAGTCGCACAGAGAAATTTTTGCAAACGTTTTTACTTGTGTAGTTCACTATGTTTATGCAAATAGTTTGCTAATTGCAGTTGAAAACCGGGTATACACGCATCACGTCACGCAATCAGTCGTAAATGGATCTATGGAAAATCTTTGCGCAAACGATTTTCCGAGAAAACTGTGTAAAAACAAGTGTGCACACTAGTGTCAAGTAGTCTCCAAAAGACATATCTTGCACGATATATCAATTTTTATACATGATAATAATATATATATATATATATATATATATATATATTTCCAAGTATCGATCAAAACATTTGAAACATTTTTTATCATATAAACGTGAGAAAATGTAACGCACTTGAGAGATCTTGTGCACATTTTTAATCTTGTTAAAGTTTAATTAATTTGATATTCAGTCATTTCGAGAATATATTGTAATCTTAAAAGAAATGTAACGGTATGTGAAATGTATCTAGAAGTAGCACAAATTGATAGTAGCACAAATTGACACAAAATACAGTATAGATTTATTAATTTTGTACACAAAAAAATCTTTTTTTAAAAAAAAACAACGACTATCCTTTGGAGTAAAAATCTGTTTTATTTTTCTTTTAACAATATACTAAAATATATAAAATGCTCTTCAACACACAGAGCAATCATTGAAATCATTTATAATCTAATCTCAGTCCGTATGTACAAATATTTCTCGATTACGATGTATTTTCCGTCTTTTTCCGTCGATTATTACACATGTATATGCGACAAATGTTACCTTAATTGCTGGCTCGAGTGCCGTTCGAGCATGTTTAAGTTGCAAGGAAAAGCAAAACATTGACAAATAAAGGAAACATATGAAAACAATTTTTGTTTGATCGGATTGTCATCGCAACAATTGACAGTTTCTTCGTCATTGCTACATCAATACATCAATACATCAGCCAACAATAATCGATTCGACTCGTTTTTCGACAAACATTGCTAACAGACTATTTTTGAGATGAGTGTTTTCTTCGTTAATAATTCTGCAGTATAGTCGAGAGCCGATTGTTTTTTAAAACTTTTGCAAGTGCAGCGCGTTCGAATTCTGACACGAGTATCACATAGCGCATGACGTCGACCAAGATGGCGCTCGATTGCACATTCACGAAGCGTGCTCCTTATATAACAGAAAACGAGCAACAAGCGCAGACCGTTCGACGTCGCGGCCACGCGATCATGCATCTTTATGTGCATTGCGTGCATTTCAAATCGCGCTTTCCATTCAGAGATAATCGCCTTATTTTATTTTCATCGTTCATCCGCGTTGAAACGCGTTTTGAACACAAAGCGGGAAAATGCGCGCGCGCGCGGCGACTTCGAGAAATCGAATTCTCGAGCGACAAACATGTCCTCCGTGGCCTTGAGCCGCAAGTACATGTCGTACACAGTACTTCGGCTCATTAGCTGTCAACATCACAATGATGTCTATAACACACTCCTGAAGCAACGTAGAACAACTATCTATCTACGTGCTGTCACAACGTCACGTGTTTGTTATGCGCGCGCATACGCGTAACTCGTGGAATTCTTACCTGCTGCTGCTGCTGCGGCAACGACGGCTCCGAAATGTGTCCCAGTTTCCCAGAGATTTTCCTCAATCTCGAGTGCTCACGAGATTCACCAAAACTGAATTTCTTCGCAAACGGCGGATTCTTCGCGTTCAAATATACGGAATGTAACTAATGAAGATGAAGGGAATTTTGCGTCCGAACGATTCGCTCGTGTTGTCGCTGACGGCTCGCGTCTCTTTGTGGTTTGTGGTATGTAGCGTGGTAGCTGTTTATCAGCGAGGTTCGACGATGACGGCGCCTTCTGTCGGCAAGATAAAAGACCTTGCGACGGAGGCAGAGACATCCGGGCTCGGTGATTGTCATCGAATCTCCCGCTGATTTTTGTTTCTCGCATGCGGAACATCAAAGCGAAAACGGTCGTCAAAGTAAAATAACTTGATATCATGAAATATACATCAGCAAAACTATATTATATAATTCGGAAAAGATATAAAATATATAGAGGCCATTTTTAATTTTCATTTATCGTAATAATTTGGCAGAATTTTTGTAGCATAGAAAACGAAATCTTATTCACTAATATTGTAGAATACTAATTATTATTCTGATTTTATAAATAATATAATATATACAAGTTATCTCTCTAAAATACAATTCAACTCCTTGATTTTGGAAACGGCTTTAGATATGAAAAAACGTTTGAAACAAAAGTTGTAGGATATTAGAGGGAACAGATAATGAAAATATAGATTTGATCTTGAGTAACCTTTTCAAGATCAGGTCAATGTAATTGATGTTTTTTTAAATGAAACCCTCAATTTTTTATAGTATATTCTTGTAGCCTTTGTTGAGACGTTTCCAAAACATTATATGTATACAGAGTATTCCAGAATTGCCGTACAATCTCAGTGAGCCGCGCGGAGCGCTTACACACACCAGGCGCACAGCTCACTGACGTGCGCCTGGCTAAAGGTCGGCGCTGATTGGCCTGTGATTTACTCAATAATTACTCCTTTATTATATCTATTAGTTACATCTCTTTTTGTAAATATATTTCAAGAGAGTTTTTCCTTCCTCAGAATGATTTTTTATATTTTTCAAGTTTAATCTTAATTTTTATAAACGTGTCTTTATTTTCAGTAAAATTATCGAATTTCTTTGTTTAACAAGACTACAAGTCCCATATGTAATTATATATATTTTATTTATACATATAGGTTATATATAAATACATGTGTATGATTATATATAAAACAATTTGTTTCGCGCTGTTGCACACAATCACAAAACTTAACTATATCATATAGAGTATTAAACTATAATATATAAATTATTATATGTGCAGTATATGATAATTAAAGTATACATTAAATTATATATATAATTATATTAGAACTATATAATTATAAATAATTGTATTTTTTACTCACATATATAATATATACTAAATAATTATGTAATTTTATATATATAGTCATTTACAAAAAAGACATATTTAACATAATTAGTTTAATTAATATTTGCATGTTGGTACATTTTATTATTCGTAAGATATATCAGTTTGATTACAAAAACAAGAAAAAATTTTCTGTGTGTATAATTAAGGAAATTTAATTTAAAATCTTATTATTTATTAATTATTAATGCTTTTTAAATAATCATGTTGTAAGTTCTAAAATTTGTAACTGCGATATATATGTATATATATATATATATATATATATATAGTTTTATATATATCTAGTTATAATTTATAATTAAAATAGTTATAGTTTATAATTAAAATTATATACGACAAACATAAAATAAAATNCTGTTTAGAAGGATAACAGATTTAAGATTTTTTTCATTATATATACTATCATATATTACCACTGTGTATACTATCATATATTATCAGGTATTACCTTATCAAGGTAAACTACTTTCGTTCTCTTCTGAGTGAGGTATCAATGTAATTTTATGACGGTGTGTCTCAAGCATAAGTACATGTNAACACGTATGATTAATTGTGTTCTCTGGTTATGCGTGTGTCTAAATGTATATATCTATAATATTTTATGAAAAATTCGCATAGGTTTCAAAATATTCCAGATACGTTATTACGGCGTCGCAAAGATACTCCAAATGCTCCTAAAAATTAGATACANAATTTCTAGTTGAATTTAGTTTATTATATTATATTTCTAGTTGAATTTAGTTTACATACTATATTGAATTTACTATACTATATTGAATTTAGTTTTTTATATTTAAATTTTACAAATATAACAAGTACCAGATTGTAGTAATTGTAACGTATGTTTTTAGTAAATGTNTTATTAAATATGTTATAGTTTTTTAGTAAATATGTTTCTTAGCGATAAAATGCGTCCACGTTGTTTCAATAACAACGGTGCATTTTATTCTTGCTAAGAAATATATGTTACTTACCAACGACCGAACAAAATCTGGTCTCGATCGTCTAACTGCTCGCACTGCCAGACAAACATCGCATTCTCTCTCCACAGCCATTCGTTCCANCAGAAAACTTAGAGCCAGATACAAACCACATCCAGTTACTCCATCGCTGGAATAGTTACATATCTTATATTTTTTNAATAACTATAAGCGCTTCGGATGCTTAGTGTTTTTTAATGTGAGATTGAAAAGCTTGTTTTTGTTTTTTTTAAAGATGCAAAATTAAAAAAATAAAAAAAATGCAATGTTTTAGAAATTAACCGTATTTTTTTTTGTACTTCTAAATAGTCGTATCTTACTGGCAAAGTATGACTGTTGGTTCATCGCTTCTTGCAATTCTCTCCGCAGTTTGCCAAAATGACACCATCGTCATGACTGGTGGCGGTGGTTGATTTCTCCCAGGTTTCCATTCCGTTAAACATAAGATAGTCACTGATTGTTCTCTCGAGAGTTTCTACAAGGTATCATACGTGTGATTGAGAATATATGTTACAGTAATAATAAAACTATTTATAACTATATAATCGCATTTGAAAGTTTGATCTACCTCGGAATTGTCAATGAGAAGTAATTGTTGTGACGTGTAATATTCTAGTTCTACAGTGCGTTTTGTTGTGATGTTCAAGTACGGTGTCGGCTTAAACTCGTCGCGAGGAACAATCGCGCAGCATGTCTGAAAATTTGTGATAGTAGATTTATTTTTAGTTCCAAAGTCTTAAATATAGCCTCCTATACGGAAAAAAAGTTTTGCTGGAACAGCTAAGAGATTAAAAAGATAATCTTATGTAGATGCTAAAATTTATTCTATAAACGTGGCATCGGAATATGCTCATACCGGATCCTGGGGATCAGGCGGCTGTAGCATAAGAATAAGTTCCACTTTGAACTCAGCGACCATTCGCCAAAAGTCAATAATCGTCGACGGCATGGGAAGCTGTGTGGCTAGATATTGATTCTGAAGTTTTACTCCGTCCACATAAACGGCAGACAGATAATCGCTGTCGTCGTCTGATGCCGGATATCTCTTCAAGTATATTCTGCTAACCTTATCTGTGTAATAAAATGAATTACTTTTTTTTATCTGATAACTTTATTACATGTCACAGTTTTATCGCTTATGTACAAATCTCCGACCCAATTTTTAGATACGGCTCGACGTTAGCATGATCAAACTTGTATATTCTATTGTTTTATCTTTTACGGCAAACATCTCCAAGTACATGTTATTTTACTTGCATTGTGAAACCAACATGTTCAACGTGTATGAATTTTTTTTACGTAAAACTATACAAACGTGCCTGAAAGGAGTTCCGGAAATCGGTTTTTAGCACGATTACATTCCGACAAGAATGGCGGAGATGTGACTGGTCGCAAAGCCTCGTCCTGCCATGCGATGTCTTGCAATCTGCAAATTTTCAATATTATATATCGTATTTATAAATTGACGCAAAAAACAAGAATAGTTATATTAGAACCTTTGCTGTTGAGCTGGTAATTGGGCCTTCAACTCTTTGATTCGCGCAGGTAATGTCTCGTTACACGGTAACGTGGTCGGTATAGAAAGCAAACATTCCACTAATGCCAAATGCGCTAACAAGTATTGCTGCTTGTTATCTACCATGTTGGCTCTTTCGTTTCTGATAGATGCTACGTCAGCGAACACATCGACCACCTGCGATGCAATTTTTTTAAAATAAAAATATGAACAAGCCAAATCTTTTATTTTGTATTTATGTATACGTTCAAACTCGCGAGATTTATCAGTAAAATTGATTATTTTAAACAACACGACGGAATGATCACCCCTTCGGCAGCCGCTCGATGAAGACAAATGTCGCACAGAATGATGGTTCCGGTTCTTCCAACACCAGCGCTGCAATGNACGACTACAGGCCCATTTCCAGGTGGTGTCGCTAAGAGTTTCTTCAAATACGTAACTACGGAGTGTGTATAAAGTGGCACACCGTGATCTGGCCAGGCCGTGTAATGCAGATGTTCTATCTGTATCATTGATACATATTTAGNAATTTCTGTGAACTTTACAGTAACGGTTTTGACTTGAAATTGCGTATACCTTTCGAGTTTCTTCTCCACAAGTAACTTGAAAAGTTCTGAAACAATAGTCAGCAAAGACACTGTGCTTTGAGTTCAGCACGATAACGTCCCCGTACTTTTTCTTCTTGCCGATGTCCGGCCAATATTGCTCACATTTTGTCTATATAGAATTTATAAAAAAAAAAGTTATTTGTCAATAAAAAAAAAAAATTATTTACATTTTCTTACTCGCGTATTTTTGAATCGCTAAACAACGTTCTTTATTAATTATATTTTTATAGTTTAAAGGTATGTACAAATTATGTTACAATTTACATAAAGAAGCGGTTACCTTTCCATTTTCAATCACATTTGCCACCATACAAATAATAAGGACATTTTCTTGCCAAATCATACGCCAGAAATCAATAACTGTGTTAGGTCTGGGTCCTTGCGTTGCTATATAATGTTTTGGCTTCTTGTATCCCTTTGTAAACAATATTATTATAATAATTGATATATATATATATATATGTATACATATATCTTCATATTCATAAAAATAAAATAAAATAAAAAACAAAAATATATTTTAAAATGTTTGTATTGTACGTGTAAATATAGTAGATAATTATTTCTGTTATGTATGAAGTTTATATGTTTATACGTTTATATATCTAAATTGTAGGCCGTTAATTAAGTATGTTTATCTTTTTATCGATGCAAATAAATTCACAATTTTCAAAGAAAGATTAGAATTAGTAATCACATTTAACATGGAAAAATACAATTCTATAATCAGTATGATAAAAGTGAAATAGTCATTGCTGTTTGTCTACGTGACTTACGGTGATGTAATTGGCATTGATGTAATCAGAATATTCGTCATCCGGAAGTTTATTTAGTATCACTCGTGTTTCGTCATCTGTATAAAATTAGAATGCCGCTTGTTATATTTATTAAGTCGTACGAGTAAAGATGCCTATTATGAGACACCTTATTTTAAAGGCTTGTAAAAGCTATTTTAAAGGCTTTTTAAAGGCCGATTTATTAAATATACAATCATAACTCTTAGATTTATGTCAAACTTATAGAAAATATATTCAAGTTCTATCGTCAAAAGTTAAAAATCAATAATAGCTACACTTTGTTTTATTATATGTAAAAGTTTTTTTTCAAAAGTGATGATTTTGCTGATTCAAAAAAAGAGTTCTCAATATGAGATACAAGAAACTTCCTTCTCATAGGAATTTTAGCAATAACAGAACTATCGACATTTTTAACATATCCTTTAATAGTAACGCTTTGGGACATTGAATTGTTTAGATGCTTTTGAATATCCCATTTCTTTGCTTTCTACTGCTTTAATGCAACCTTTAATTGACAGTGAAATCACAATTGCCTCCTATTTGCCTCCATCTGAAAATATGATTACTAAAAACTTACTAATACATCAAATAGAGAACTTGACAGTTCCTATAAAAGGCGGCTGCTTGTCTCATATTAGGGAATATTAAATTGTAAAAAGTTTAAGTTTGTATCGACAAAGTATGCAATAAATTGACAAAACTACATGATAAATCACCTATAGTGCATGTGTACATTAAGATGAATTAAAATGACAGTAAAGCCTATGACATAAAAGTGTTAAATACATATTTTAAAATTATAATAAGTATTTTTCTTCTCCGCGCGTACGCGACAACTCCCTTGTAGACACCACGTCTTCGGCAGTAAGCGACACTAACAAAACATTTGATTGTGTAATCAAATGTAATTTGATTGTGTAATCAATTGTAATTTGATTGTGTAACCAAATGTAATTTGATTGTGTAATCAAATGTAATTTGATTGTGTAAGTGATATGTTAAAAATACGCAGTTATGAATTTGTAGCCGTTTACATGAAATAGCTCTCTATCTCGTATTAGTTAATTATCTTATAATAAGCATCTTTACTCTACAACGCAAAATTTACGATCAATTTGGTACTTACAGGCTATGAGATTGCCGTATCGATTTTTGGATTTGTTCTGTGGCAATTTTCCATAAGTCCACGGCCGAGTTTGTCCTCGCGGAAATGTCTTAAAATTATATTACAGAAGTAATAGATTTTTTTATATATCGCTTACTGTATAGTATTAGTCATTATTTTTGTGGTTATATGTGTAGTTGTATACACACAACAGTTCTAACGTAGTTGAATAACATTGTGTTTTTCACAAGATGATTTTATCGTTGCATATGCAAAAATGTTTGCGTATAATATTTATAAACATTTAATTAAAAACACGACTTAACATATATTAAAGTTTTAGTTGACGTTTAGAGAGAAAGAAAAGAGAAATGTACGAAAAGCAAGTAAGTAAATAGTAGATAATAAAAAAAATGTAATTTACTGACCTCGTATTGTTTTTCCAACAATCCTGACTGTATTGCTTCTCTGACATAATCCTCAAACTCTTTAACCTTTACCAACAATGTTTTCTCTCGATCGATAGTCTCGACGTCAATGAATACTTCTTCCGGAGTAGTTGCCCGAGATAAAGATTTGGTCGAAAGTTTATCAAATGGAATCGAAAGTTTGTCAAAAGTAGAAGTGATATCCTGCTTTGAACTTGATATGACAGATTTTGATTCATATTCGTGGTTTTCGATGTTTTCCGACAAAACTATCTCGTCATTCAGAAATACTTGTTTCTTCAATTTCTTGTTTTTTCTGTGAAAAGCAGTTATACTATATTGTAGCTGAAGTAGATATAATTCAGTTTGCAAATAGTAATTACATTATTTTAGTATAGTAAAAGATACATTACCTTTGATAAATATAATAACCTGCAGCTATTATAAAAAGAAGTAATATTATGAGAATCAACCACATCTTATAATGGACTGATGGAACTTCACCGATATTAATAGATTTTGTAAGCATGAGTGATTTAAAAGAGTCCTCAAGATTTGAATTCTGTTCTTTTACAATAACTACTACATTGTAAAATTGATTAGGATGTAACGGACAGTTCTTCGCACCTCCATACGATAGGTCGTCGCCAAGTAAAAATGTATAATTTTTGCGAGCAATCTCATCTGTCTGTAATTAAATAGTACCCCAGTAAACACGAGGTAACAAGAAAGTAATATTAATGTTATAATTTCTCATTCAATAATGTAACTGCTACGTACAAGGTATGTTACATCGCAATTACATTGTTGAGTAAGAAATCATAACATTAATGTTACTTTATGTTTACTGGAACATAAAGTATATAGATATTAAGTTATTTAAAAAATAACAAACACTAAATTTAATAATATGAGTGGAAAAATTATAATTTACACTTACATACGGAAAACATTAACTTGTTTTACTATTGTACTTACTAGATGTATCTAAGAAACATAATTTTTTATCTCTTATCAGCTTTAACGCAAAAGCATTTTTTTATTTGTTTTAGGAGCAGTTTATAATTATAATAGTTATATATATATATATATATATATATATAATTTAATTAAATTTTTATTTTGTTTCATTTATTTGTAAACCGTAGAGGAATACAAATTCTTTTGAGATTTTATTATAAATTGCATACTTACCGAGATTATAGCAGCATGCCAAGCAATTTCATACATCTTCACGTTTGCTTGCTCTTGCAGATTTTTAGGTACTTCCGCATATTCTTTGCATCGTTTGGGACCTTTTACAATTATGTGCATAACACTGTTACATGTGTCATTCAGAACAGGCGGTATGTGTAACATAATCGATGAATTCGAATTTTCCTTCAAAATTTGTAGGTCTCCATCAAAACTTGCGTCTGATGGCGTTTGTAGGTCTATAACGTTTGAACTACTGGTTTCGTACGTTATTGTCTCAGCCTGAATTGAGATGCGGTACTTTGTCGATGGGAATAAACGTAAGCGCTCGTTGTAATAACGTGTATATTGTTCCACTGGCTTTTCCTGCGATTTTATTGTGTCAATAGAACGCAAATTGCGTTTTTTCTTCAGATTTGTAGTCTTTTCTTCTATCGTGATACAAAAACATCGCAAATGTCGACCTGTCTTCCATGGATGACGCCAGTTTAAATCCACCACGCTGTTGTCGTTTATTTTGTAAGTAAATTCTTCAGGTACGCTAGGTTCTACAAGATAATCTGCTTGTACTTTTTTTATTGTGGTGAGAAAACAATTAGCTTTACTTGCGCATATTTTAAAAATTATTAGAAAACAAAAAAAAGATGAAATTGATTTTTTTGTATAATATATGCGACATCTTACGTGTATTTTCAAGCATTTTTCTGGATACATGAGCTGGAGGACTTGCAGTAGTAACATTTGTATTGTACGCAATCACCTGTAATATAATAATTCGACTATTTTAATGTTGAAGTTTTCTACATATATTGTTTGATAATAGCACTAAGAAGGAATCAGAAAGATCTTGACAATAAGCAAATAATAATTATTGAACTACGTGTTAAGTGTAATATTTTTTAAACATTTCTCGATCATGTACATTTTTTGCAGTTTATTCAAATGTAAATTTAGTAAAAAATATGATATGTATATATTGAAAAAAATATTACAAATAATTCTTTTCTTACTTGTATGGCGATATTAATTGTGGAAATTGGAAACTCTTCACAGATATAATCATTCCACAAATCACAAAAGTTTGTTAATTCAACAATTTTAAAACTGCAATTTTTGGTAGTGTAACATAAGATAACATTATAATACTGCAATTGTCCGTTTAAGGGTGGAAGTGGACTGTGCCATTTCAAGTATAACGTCATGTTTGACGATACACGATTATCAATCTCGACGACTTCTAGATTGGTTACTACAGGTGGAGCTGTTGGTTCAAATCAATCTAAAGTTCTGATGACTTTGTTATATAATAAATTGAGAAATAAAGATAACACCAAACGTAATATTACCTGTAGGTGGAGAGTTAAAAACCAGTTCTTGAAAAGCAGAAGAATTTTCTGTACTATGAAATTCTCTTATTACATAAACAGTTGCCTTATATCGTTCGGCACCATTTAGTGGCGGATTAAAAGTTCTTAAATCAATATACTTGAACTGTGTTTGTTTAATTGCAGTGTAATTTTGGACATAATGAGTAACTCCGTTTATCTTTATTTTAGCTATTAATGATCCCGAAATCGTCGAGCAATCTTTAGGTGATTGCCATGATAATATCCAGTTGTGGAATTCTACCTGACTAAATATTTCCGTTGGTATATCTACAAAAATTGTGCTATCGTATACTGAGACACACTTTTTATATACGCGCGTGTAAAAATATAATTAATTTGACATATTTTAGAATCAATAATAATTATCTAAAACAGTAGTCATTGATAAGCACCATTTTTGTCTGTAGAAAACATTATTTCTGTGTCATTGCTGCTGTGTCGTGAATTGCGAGCTCTTACTTGCGCTTTATAAGACGTATATGGATGTAAATCTAAGATTGTGATGCTTGTTTCGTTAGTAAATTTTTTAATGGAGATTGGATTATCTGGCATAGTTAAGTTTTCGTTTGTACAACCGCAGTACTCATTAATCTAGAATTAATAGAAAACATTTATACAATAAAAAAGTTGATTACAATAAAAAATTATTTTGTCACATCGATTAGTTGTGGATGAAAATCGTAATGTTATAATAAGAACTACGTGTAAGCTAGTTGTTTACCTTCAACGTTACTTCATACTGCAAAATTTTTCCATTTGGTTGATCTGGAGATCTCCACGTCAGATTGACAGATGTATTTGACTTTTTCAAGTAAAAAAAATCTAATACTTCAGTTGGAACTAGTGATATTTATAAAACACAGATGCTTAAATATGTGTTTGCATACACATATTGGAAATTTTCTCACTGCATGCTTTATATCGTATAATTACAAACTTACCGCCTTCTAATGTACATACTGTCTCGAAATACAGCAAGCTGTTATTGTTATATTTTGCATGATGTATTATCACGTCATACCAAGTATATGGGTTTAATCCTGACAATTCACGAGAAAATTTTGTCATTTGTTCAGTGAAAATCAAACGACTATTTGTATATTGAAGTTGTAGTGAGTACCAATTTGGTGGACACGGATAGAATGGCTAGCATAACAAGACACCAAGAGTTTTTACACAATATGTACATATAATATAATCATAGTAAAATTATCTGCATTATATATTATAAAAACTAAACAGAAAATATGTACGTACATCTGAGTTGTTTTGCACATTAATCGTTATGCTGTTTTCTGCAGGTGTTACGACAAACTTTGTCGCTACTATATCATTGCAGACAGAAAATAGAGAAATTATATAATTAGAGAAGACTATAATTAACAATAAATATTGACACTTACAGTCGCAAGCAGTTTCCACATTTTGCCACTCACTCTCAATCAGACTTCCTTCAACACTTAAGATGCATTTCACCCAGTAAACAGAAGCAGGTTTTAAATCTTTGAAATACCCTGTCATGTGCGTCATGTTCGGAAACAGTTTATTCCATGGCAGCGTAATGGAGTAATTGAATATTTGAGTAATTGGGTCTAATCCCTGTAAAGAATGTATTAAAATATTACTTGATTTTTATTTGTATATTACGAGCGCGTAAAAAGTTGTATCTTAAGTAGTAGATAAGTGTGACAAGTTCAGGTATTAAATGAATTATTAGTAAAGATATTTCAATTTCTTTTGAATAATTTTAGAAAAAATAAGTAAACTTGTACTCATTTTACTTATACTTACTCCAAGTGTAAACAAATACAGTAGTGACAAATTTTTATATTCCTGTGTCCAAATCGTACGAACTTTGGCTTGGATACTTGTAGCGGTAGAGACAATTGAAGGTGCTTCAAGCTTGTCTATGCCTTAAACATCAGTACAGTTTCCGTTTATCTAATAACATCTATCAATAAGAGAAATCATCTGACAATTATAGTTACAATAATGTTATATATCATTAAAAGTTATTATACCTATCTGACATAGAGGTGGTATGTAAATCTTGTTTGAGGTTTTGACGCATCCGTTGATACATTCGCCAGTAATTTTATCGCAATTAAAATTTTTGCAGGAGCCACACTTATTCTTGCAATTATGACCGTACAAGTAGTTCTTACACACTTTAAGTATATTGTGACATGTATTTACAGATCGTATATAGACGTAGTGATAAAATTTAAACTGTAATTGTGAAAATTGTAATTAAAGAATACTTACGTGAAGAACATTCCGTATCCTGAAAACCTGGAGAACATGTGCAACCATTTGTATAACAGATCGCAGTTTCTTTACAGTTATCGTAACTTTTCAAATCGTGTGCGCAAGAAAATAAACATTTCGGCCCTATTTTTCCTATCGGACAATCTTTATCATCTGAGAGAAGAAAAAGTACATATTAAAATAAGTCTATATCATATTTAGCAAATGGACACCTAAAATTATGCAATAATATGTTTTTAGAAAGAATCATAATACATAGATTTAAAGAACGTGAGATTTCACATTTGCAATATAATTAACCATTAAGTAATCACCCAGATCTATGTTGGTTGTTGCTTCTGGTACAGAACTTACTACAGTATGTTCGTTATAAAATAGTTTTTGGCATGTTACATTTGGCCAATAATAAGAATTAGAATAAGTTAACGTCTGTCCAAAAGAAGCATTTCCTGTAGTGAAAATCGTTGCTTGTCTTAAAGATTCTATATAAACATAAAAAAAAAGATAATTACAAAGAAGTTAACAATTGGTTTGGTAGATTTTTTATAAATCTTTTATGTGTATATAAACACATAGTGTATTTTTATCATATTAGATATGCAATAAGATACTCTAAGTATGAGATATTCACACCTCTCTTGGAACATTCACGAACATCTGCTATTGCCCATAACGGATTGTAGCTATGCGCTTGAAGTTTAGGAATTACTTGAATTTTTACTTCACGATAATTGTCTGTTGATAAAGTTTTATTAAGTGTGATAAAATGCCACATAGGTAAATTATGAACAGCTGTCAATGATCCTTTCACTGTTACATTTTTTATTACTTCAAAATTAGAGGAATTAAGTATCACGACATGTGCATCGCATTCTGTGCACAGACCAATGATCATTTGTATACAAAGTGTGGAATTAAGAAGATGAAAGGTAGGACTTGTTAAAGTTGCACTCTCGGTAGAAGTGTACAGAAAATCATCTGAAATAGAACGCACACGTTTTTATGTGAACGTATAATAGAACGTGATAGTTCCTTAATCAATCTCATGTTTCTTCATCTATTATATTGCTCATTTTCTCTCTTTGATACACATTACTTAGAAATTTTGTTTAGAATATATATATATATATATATATA